AGATAATAGATTCAAGCGTAGGCATTTCTTAAAGATCTTACATTTTCATATTGTTTCATAGCATTTAAGACACTGTGAATTTATACTTTTTCTTTCTCTGCCTCGACCCAGGCAGCAGGTATATTGTGATGGGCCACATCTACCATAAGAGGCGGCAGCTCCCTACAGCTCTGCTCCAGATCCTCAGAGGGCGCCTCCGACCTGGAGATGGACTGTTGCCGAGCAGCAGCAGCTATGTGAAAAGGTTTAACCGAAAAAGGGATGTGCAAGTTCAAGGTGCAGTTCACACCCAATGCATTTGAATTTACCAGCGTGGCATTTCTGGATCGTAAGAGACTTGGAATTGATCAACAAGACAGGAAAGGTCTAGATTCATATAATGGGATCTTCCTTTAGAATAGGGCACATGGCTCCTTTATATGAACTAGTTGTGTAGTTCCAACTTCAGTAGTGAAGCTGTCACCTTATTTACAAAATGCTTCTTAAGTGACATGCTTCTGAGTTCTGTGGCAAAGTTATTCCACTCCTAGCAGTTATGCATAGACAGCGACTGACCTGTCCCATTAACAGATCACTGCTTCATGCTGTTTATTTTTAATTATTTTAATTTAAATACATTCTCAGTAGAAATAGTTCACAAAAAAAAAACATTTCCTTGATTTTATATACAACTTTGAATAGTTTCTATCACGTATCAAACCAAATTTTATACCTAAACCATCACATTTTAAGTTCTTTATATAACAGTAAGTGCACTAGTCGAAGACATGTATGATGTCATATAGATCAAACAGATGGGTCAGAGCTGAAGACAAGTTATCAAGTTTTACACTTAAAGAATACTAACGGGCTTAATTCAAGCAAAATTTTATTCAAACAAGTGTTTCTGATGTACCAAAGTGTAAGATAGTTTATTTTCATGCCTTCCTGCTCCTAAAAACATGTTTTGTGTGAACTGGCAGCTATCCCAATGCTAAACATATTCTGGGTGTATCTGATGTCTTTTTTTTTTAATTAAGACAAGTATCATGTTAGTGTTTGTAAAGCAGTAAATCGTGCTTTGAAATCAGACCTTGGATGCACCTGGGTTTTTTTTGTTTTTTTGGGTTTTTTTTGCCTCATCAAACTCCATAGGTTTGGGAGAAAGCCTCTCTCAAACTTACTCCACAAACCCTGGAACCCATATTCAATGACGGCTTGCAAGCATGTGAATTTTAAATGCTTTCCAGTTGGGTTAAAAAAGGTTTGAGTCACTAGCTGAATTTAGTATTGATTTTGTATTTGAGTTCACAAAGATATTAACAGTCTGTTTTTCAGAAGACCAAGCTGTACTGCAGTTCATTTGAAACACTGAATAGACATTGATAACCCATGGCTGAAGATTATGGCCTAAAGAAAAATAAAAAGGAACTGCACTAAATAGAGAAAACATACTATTTGGACTTAAAGTAAACATACTCAGGGAGCGCAAGTGTCTTTAGTCTAGTGGCACACAGTCTTTAATGGACATACAGCACTGTAGGACACCAGGACAGGACTCTAGAGACACTTCTTGGGGAAATCAAGCAGCAATAGCCTAAGACATAACATCTGAGTGTGATGGGAGGTATGGTTACCTTGTTTGTCCCCAACATGGAGCGAAGTGGTAAACTAAACGTTGAGAGGTCCTGACTATTACTCTGTGGTTAAAGCATTACTAAAGAAACTTTAAGAGAATTTTCCAAAAACAAGCCTTGCCCAAACACATTTAAAAAATCATAATAGAGTTGCTTCTTGGGAATCAGCTACATGATTACATGAACTATTGGTTGGAAGCAGCAAATGAAGAGCTTCTGGATTATAGCTTTAGAATAAAAATTAAACTCAGATTTTAGTAAGTCACAAAAGTCAAAGCCAAATTTTTAAATGTCAAGGCTAAGTGGTGATCTTGCGAAACACAGTGGGGGAAATCACAGAATGGCCAAATAGATAAATTATTGGTTGGATGGTCATATGTTTGAACAGAAAGTTATAAATAGGTGTGGTTTAGAAGAGGAAAAAAATACCACTTTTACACAGCCTGCAAGTTAGGATTTGATTAGACTGATCTGATACTAATTTCTGGGAAATTTTAGAAACACACAAAATGTGCTGGCATTGTGTGAACTGCATGATGCTGGAAGGCCAGTTAGCATGTACAAACACAAACACAAGCAGGCCAGCTTTTCAGAAACTTCCTCTTAAAATTAAGGCCATCATTGAAGACCAGGTTTGCAATGAAAGTCAGGTGAGGCTCAGATGGGTTAGAGCTGCGGTGGGCATGAGGGTGGGCGCAGCAGACAGTGCAGACTGGAACTGCCCTTAGCAATCAAAGTGAAAAGGTATCTCTTCAATATTCAGTCAGTGCTTTGGATTAATAATTTTATGGTAAATCTCAATTAACAAATTCACTGTAGTTCCTAACTCTATTGTTCTATTCGTAAGATTTTTTTCTGAGCACATGGCTTTGTGTTCCAGAGACTAAAGGACTCCGTGCACCAGTCTGGTGCCTTCAAGAGAAACTCATTAGCAGCTGTTCGAATTAAGCTGCTAGAATTCAAGGGAAAAAAGTACTTTTGGCAGGGCAAGGTTTAGAAAAGATACATACATTTTTGGGGAAGTACTAACTGTTTACTGTCTTTAAAAAAATCACTTGGCACTGTTTTATGTCTCTTAAAATCATTTTTAAGGTTTATCAAACGTATATGCAACGGACCTGACACCTGTAACGCACAACTGCCATTTCAGGGACAGGACTTTATCGTTTAAAAAATATAGCCTATTTCTTCTGCTGTATTTGGTCCTAACTGGATCAAATCGGGTGTGATCTCCTGTGAAATGGCTTTTTTGGTATCTTATTCTAAGTATCCAGAAGGATCTCAGAATATTTCAAATTATTAAAAATACTTCTCAGCTGGTTCTGTCCAAGTACTTAGAAGACATTACTTTGCCCATAAAATAGACCACCATTCTCATTTTTAAGGACAAATTTGGGACCTGGGGTAACAGCCTCAGTCACAAAAGGGTGAGTTCTGCAGCAGTCACAGAGCTCTGTCTAGCTCAGTCTGTAAGTGCACAGGTGGAAAAGGTCAAGGCTGACTCTTTACTATGAGACACACGCAAAGATGCAGGGATCTGCGTAACAGAAATGAACAGGAACAGGTAAAGAACTTTTATTTGCAGATTCTAGGAAGGTGGATTACAAACAACAGCAAATGTCAGTGTCCCTAAAAAATACCCCAGGCTACTTAAATATATAAAAAGGTAATTGTTTTACTTTAAAAAATATCTCTAAAAGTTCCTAACTTTTAAAAACCTACCTACCGCAGGACATTAACTAAAATCAATTCCTGCAGAATTTGGACAGGAGGAAAAAAGTCTTACCAATATTAAGAAAATACTTTTCATGAAATAGTTTCAATTGTGAATTTGGCAAATGAAACATAACAAGCATTGAAAACACCTTTGGACAAAGAAATCTATTGATGTAAATTAAAGATATTTTTAAGCCCAAAGAAATATATTTGGGGTGGGTAGAAAAATCCCAACAGTATCATCAATGTGCACTCTATTACTTCGATTATTGAAAGCACAATAGCTGTCATATGTGTATCTTATTCAATAGCAGAAGCTTGTCAAAGAATACTCGTAAGAATGCTGCTTTTGAAACTCCTTATGGGTTATAAGAAACGTATGCTTTTCAAAAATTACCTTTGGAAGACTAAAGCTCTGTAGTGGATAAAAACTATAAAATGTCTATATATTTATATGATGGTAGAAATTGCAAAAGGCTTTAAAATATTAAATATGCATATGAAATTAACATCTTCCTGGTCAGAGGATTCCCATAAAATCTACCTTTTTTGTACAACTTGGCAATGCCAACAGCTACAGAAAATATATCAATCAACCAACCACTGTTTCATTAGAAACTGCACCAAATCCAATGTCAAAAACATTACTTTATTTTTCTAGATGAAATGTCCTTTTACGTACAAAAAGAATTGCTGTTTAGAATTTGCCACAATCTGTTAAAAACATAGCAATCTATTGCCTACAGGTAGGAAAGTTCTTGCTGCAACAAGTTTTAAATGATTAAGCCCATATATATCTATATCTATGAATAAATAATACAGAAATATTGTGATGTGATGAGATGCAGAATAATTTTATAATTCATTAAAATGTAGGGTTCTTGCATCAGCACAGTGCATACAATATGTAACATTTTTCAAAAGTAAAAGGACAAAATAACCTATATTTGATTACTTCCATGTTAATATTTTAAGCAAAAACGGTTTCCACATTGAGCATTATTAGTGTCTTTAGTTTGTAAGCAAAGGTTTAAGTGACATTTTTATGTACAAAAAGGAATGGGCTTCATTAGATAAAATTAACCCAGAACAACCTGTACACCTGAGCCTGTAATAAGAAAGAATTGGGAACTGTAGCAACATCTTTCTTTTAAGAAACTAAGATCTGGGAAAGATTCTGCATAGCAGGGTGATAGTAAACAGAAGGAAACTTTTTAAAAACGTTAATTTCAGAAGTTGGTGGGACATAGCTAACATGAATTAGTGCAAAATCTAGTAAAATTTTTGCAAAGCTGCATAAACCAACCATGGCAGATCTTCTACAAGCTATTGTTACAATGCCTTAATATAAGTGTAAGGTTAGAACACTGAAAGGAAGAACATGCAAATATACCCTCCTCTTGTTGTTTCCATTTCTCCCCTTCCTGCTTACATCACTTTTTATGGGGGGTGGGGGGGCAACAAACAACAAAACTTAACCAACGAACAAAAAATACAAAAAGATGATGTCATCTAAAAATGCCCTCCATAAAATATAAGTAGCTGTCTGTAACGGCCTGGGATCACATAACGTACAGAAGGCGGCAATGTGTGTTTGGTCACATTACCTTTTTAACCAGAATGATCAATGATGCAACAGGACTAGCACCCCTGAAGATTTTTCTCTGACATGATGACAATGGGCTGGGAATTATAAAATGAAGGGCCACTACTATCCTGGACAAACCCAGGTACAATTAGATGCTTCTGCATTTTGTTTACCTTGCAGCCCTCCCTTTTCCCTCAAAGGCTTACAGATAATCATTAGCGCACATTCAAAGACACCATCTGTGGGAGAAAAATGATCTCCATTTATTTTGTTTCATATACATCCATAGTTGAATTTTAATACAAAAAGAAAAAAATTAGAATCTGACAAATGTTTACAAACAAGATACCTTCAAATAGATTTTACTCATTTTAGCCTGGTGCAGAGTAAATGACAAATTGTACTGTTATATTCAAGGCAACAGAGTCTGTAGTCCAGGACCACTTAACCCAACCTTTATGCAAGCTTAATTTTCATCTACCATGAACAATAAACTCATTGTTGATTCCCAGTTGTGTGTGTGTGCACATGTGTACATAGCAGCTCCTTTCATAGAAAGAAAAGACATCTAGAGGTCGTCTTGTACTTTTGCCTATAGGAATCATGATAAGATACAGAATGGATTACATGTAACCGGGGCTGGATTTTATAAGAAAAAATAATTAGCTGACAAATGAGGGCAGCAATAAAAAAGCGTCTTTTTTGCAACAATAAATAAATACAGTCAAAGTTTTCTGTGAGACTCTAAACCAGCTTCTTCACTGAAGAGCAGACGTGGCATTTCCATGGAGTTACACTTGACCCCATATTATCTTTTTTTCTTGCTTTCTTTTTTCTTTTTTTTTTTTTCAATAAAATTTTCCCGCTTCTGCCACAATAGTAAAAACCATTTGATCTTGACAAGATAATGGTGTCGCTGACTTCGCTTTTCCTTTGTCCGTTGGACAAAACTGGTCAAGAATAAAACTGGACTGCTATGACCAATAAAAACGAAGTTTAGGTCAAGTCTTGTCAGGATAACCTGACTAAAAACATCTGGCTCCTTAATTTAAAATAGTTCAGACAACCAGATTCTTGCTGTGTTTTATGCTTAGGTTAACACGCTGAACTTTAAGAAGCTGTAGACTGCAGTTTGTTGTTATGAGACCTACAGAATATAGAAAACAGGGAACAATTAAGCACCCTTCATTTTTGAAAACAATGATGCTTTATGTGGATGCCAAGGTCAATCTGGGGGAAGCAGCCATGTTCTTTCATTCACCCTTGGTGAGCAAATGTGTGAGAACAAGTAAGACATTTTTTACCTTAATATTAAAAATTTTCACTGTACACTAAACATGAAAATTCACTGGAAAAGGCCAATATTAAAAAAAAAATATGTAAAATAAAAATTACATTTTTAGCCAAAGGGACAACTAGAGACATTTGAAAAAGCATTACATTGTGGTGCAAGGTGTCTGGTGTGTGCCGAGCGCGCACGCACATGCTTATTTACATTGATTTGGGGAATGTGAAGGAAAAAATGTTAAAGAGAAATAACAATATTAAAATCACATTTCTTTCTATTAAACTCCAGAAAGTCTCCTTTCTAGTTTCACAGTTTTATTCATAACCTTCGTTAGTAAATCTAATTACTGTACAGTTACCAGAACTAAGTCAAAGTATGTTCTACTGCAATAGTGTCTATAAATACAGCATTTCAGGAGTTTACAATCTTAAATACATTGTTCAACATGGCTGCAAGAGTAAATTGTTTGTTACTATACATCTTTTTTAACATTAAAAAATTATATTAACTAATCTGAATTTGAGGGGGCAATTTTGAATTAGGTAATGACGCAGTGTAATAAGGAACGGCCCCAACACCCAGTTCTGATTCCAGTTAAAAATTCAGACTAAAGATATCACAATCTGTAAGAAAAGAAAGAACATGGATGGTCTAGATGATGAATTATAACAAAGTACAATAATGAGAATAATTTGCAAACAATGCTGGCAAAATGAAAACGGAAGGAAAAAACGGGAGGCAAAGCAAATACTAGAAATCCATAAATAAATCATATTCCAATGATTGGCTATATATGTACTTCATTCTGTCTTACATCAGCAAATCAACAAAAACTCACTGAGCAAACTTCTCAGTTGGCAACCATGTTCTTACTAGTATTACTCAAACCTGAAAAGCTACGTAAGATAGCCTGGTGGCAAGCTCTCCTAAGTTGGCCCCCTTTACTGTGTGCAGAACTGACTCCTAGGCCCCCTTCTCCCCCAGCTCTCTGGTCACGCCCCAGGCCGCCAGGGTGTTCCCCTCCCGCAGCGGCAGGGGCTGCTGCGCCCATGCAGGGTTCTGCCTCCAAGCTGGGCAGCCGGGTGCGACTCAAACCCCCCTGCTTCCACCTCACAGTTACCACCAAAGGCTCTATATATATAGCCTTCCCAATTTTTTTAAAAAGCAATTTTAGAAATGTATTCAGAGGACTAATAGTTGGAGGTATAAATAAAAAAGATGGAGAGGCCTCTGAATAAGTTGTGGTCCTCTCTCCTTATCTTAACCTGAATCCAGGCTCCCCAAGCTCAATCACTTTTATCAGTTCTTAGGCAGTTAACATTTGTTATGCTACTATTTCCGGCTTTATCTATTTTATATTGTTGAAAATCCTGTTAGGCAAATAGAACTGAGCTCCTGTAAACACTTCTCCATCTCCCTTCTTGAGTCCCAGTTTTACTTCCCTACAAATTTAATCTTTCTATGCTTTGTCTAGAGGCTGATTCTAAAAGTTGAAAATCAATGTAGTATTTACATTACTACGACTATGTAAACACTTTTCTCTTTAGCATCTACTCTTTTGTTAAGAGTGCATTCTCAGCATTCTTATACAACTTCTTGTTTTTCATGGAGCTTCTAATTGCCTTTCATTTTCTCTTCTTTCTTAAATAAACTATCTTTTTCCCCACCTTGTCTTCCCCCAGACACCTTTCTCATGGGAGTGCTTCATTCTCCTCCTGGGTCAGAGTAATTGCCATTGTTTTCCCGAACGTCTTGTTCCCTGGATCCAAGGTCTTGTTTTCTTGATTTGCTTATTTTGCTACTGAATATCTCAAAACCACCTGCCTAAGAGGATGCCTGGGAAGGAGGCTGTTTCTGAGTCCTTACATGACTAACTCATATATCTGCTTCTATCCTGGACTGTTCGGCTGGCCAAGGACTTCTAGGCTGAGAATCATTTCCCCTCAAGCTTTTGGATTCCTTTCTCCATAATCCTCTAGAGGATCCGACTATTGCTAGAAAAGAGTCTGATGCGAGTCTAATTCCTGTTCCTAAGTAGGCTGTCTGTTGCACCCTCTTTAGAAACTCTCAGGAGAGCCTTCTTTATCCTGGGCATCTGGAAATGTTGCAGCGATGACTATGTGGGTGGAGCCTTTTCCATTTGTCCAGCTGGCTTGTTCTGTTTGTTTTATCAATTGTCCTCATCATTCCACACACCCTCCCACCCCCACCCTGTTCCCTACCCCACAAAAGAGCAACCTCCACAGGGAGCCAGGAACTTATTTTATTCACTGCTGGTATATTCAATCTCTGACACAGACCAGAGTCTGAACCATATGCTGAATGAATACATTTATTTTCCTTGGATTTGAAGTCTTGTGCCTCTCATTGGCTCAGGAAATTTTTCTTACATTATTAGTGTTTTGATAATTTCCTCTCCTTTGTCCTCTGTTTTTTCTTTCTGGAATTTCCATTAAGTGAATATTGCATATTTTATAACATTTTTTTCTTTTACATTTTCAATTCCTTGTATTTCTGTTCTTTATGCTGAGAGAGTTCCTTTGTTTTAATTTTCATGGCTTGCAATAAGTTCAAATTTTCCAATCACTTCTTTTTCTCAGATTGTTCTATATTCCTAATATCCTATTCACCATTTTGTAAAATTTTTCTCAGGCCATGATTTAAAGGTGTTTTTGTTGTTGTTGTTTTTTAAATTTATTTTTAAAGTTCTCTCTAGTTTTCTCTGGGATCTATTTTTCTGCTAGATCTTGACCCTTCTCCTTCCCACTGCAGGCTTTCCTCACATATCTGGCTGGCTGTTCACACATGAGAGGAAGTTAATGGATTAGACAGTTGCCTGGAGAGCGCTGGGTATGTGTGTAGGGTTGACTAGCTGGCAGGTTTTTCTTCTGGTGATTTCTCGACCTTACTCTTGACATCTTGGGACTGGATAATTCTCTGCCATGGGGGCTGTCTGGTGCATTGTAGGATGCGTAGCAGCATCTCTGGCCTCTACCTATAGATGTCAGCATCACTTTCAATCTCTAAGTGTAACAACAACAACAAAATGTCTCCAGGCATTGCTCACTGTATCTTGGGAGCTGGAGGTGGACAAATTATCCCTGTTGAGAGCCACAATTTTAGAATGAGGGGGCTGGGGATCTGACCCTTCATAGGCCAGGGGACTTTACTCTGAGTCTAATTCTCTTATGTCTACTCTAGTTCTCTACAGTTTCTGCAGTTTATTCTATTTCTTTAAAAAAGAAACTGTGCTCTTCCAGTTCCTCGGGCTTCTTCCTACATAGGCTTGCACGCAGGGGACAGGGAAGGTGACTAGCTCAGATACAGATGGTCCTCGACTTAGGGTGATTCGACTTACAAACTTTTTTGACCTCTCAACACTGAGAAAGGGTTGTGCATTCAGCAGAAACAGATGAGGCTAAACCATGAAGTTTCATACATCAGATGTATTAAATGCATTTCAACTTACGATATTTTCGATTTATGATGGGTTTATCAGGATGAAACCCCATCATAAGTCGATCTGTATGGATCTTCAGTTAATACCTCCCTTTTCCTCCTCTCTTGCATTCTACTTGATTTCAGAAACTCCTTGTTGGAGGCTCTCTGGGTTCTGCTATAGAGCCTCTGGGAGGAGTTGGCTGGGGCTTCCCTGGCTTTGTCGACTGTTCCTCTTCCAGCTGCTTTGTCTTCTAGAATCTATTGAAATCTCATTAGCTAACTAACTTCTACCATATTCTTTCCATTATCGGAGTTCAATCTCTTTTTATTACTTGATTATTATCTTCCTGGGGATTGTCATATTGAATAAGTCCTCTTCCATTTTAAGTTTTACAGTGAATAGGTTAACAGGGGATGATAAAAGGGAAAGTTTTAGAGATTTTGTAAAGTTTCTTGGTTCCTGGTCTATAGCCTGACAGCCTACACACTCACTTTCCTTCCTCTTTTGCCTATAGTTTTTGATTCCCTTGCTGAGAAGGTAACTGGATACTTGAGCTGGGCTGTCCTTCACATTTATTTTATGTAAACTGACTCTAAAGTGCAGTTCTTGATATAACTTGCTACAGGAAAGGAAGAGAGACCAAAAACACCAAACAATTTTCCTTCAAGGAAAATTCCTAAGTAGAGCACTGATTTACACTCTGGTATGCAGAGTCCCTTGGGAGTACATTAGCTAATACCCATGTATTATTATCATGGGTATTATTATCAGGCCCCGACCCAGCCAAGATCTACCCAATTTAGTACTTCAGGATGATCAAGCCTGAGGAATTGGTGAATGGGAGAGAGTGGAAAACAAATCTCGGGGCTACAAAGTGGTAAGAGCTACCACAGGAATGGAAAATGGGCTTCTGTTGGAAGGAAGTCAGTCACAGGCTAGAGAAGCGGGGTCTGAGGTTCAGAAACAGAAGTAATGAAAGTTGTATTACCACAGGCTCAAAGAAAAAGTCTATGGACTTAGAGTAAATTCTAGTTTTGTCCACTGAAAAGACACCCAGAGAAAGAAAACATTTTATGGTTTCAAAGACAGCAAACATAAATTAAGGAGAAAGTACTTAGGGTCCCCTTTCATAGTCTTCCCCTTCCTCTACCCTACAGAAGAGCCCACCTTTACACCAGAAAATGAGAGCAGGAGCTCTGTCTTACGATTGTCTTTGTACACGCATTTAAGAAAGCAACTTGTATTCTCTAAGCCAAATGCTTTTTTAATTTAAAAAAAAAAAAAGCCTTTAATTCTAAGCCGATCACAAACAAACTCAGCAATTTCTCAATGCTGAGTCTGTCTACTTGTCCTTGGCAATAGAGCATAATGCTAGAGTCTTGTTTTCTTTTTCTTTTTTTAAGGATTCTGATTTTAAGATCCAAGTTTACCATAAACTGCACTGGCTGATTCCACAGACAGAACAGTATAAAGAGTTTGAAGAGGTGAATTAATTCAGAACATGAACACATCTGCTCACCTGCTAGCCTTGAATCCTTTCAATTTCTGTACAAAGAACGATTCAAGAACTTCTGCACATTGGTAAAAAGGGGAGTCACTTGGATTGTAGTAACGACAATTATCAAAAATTTTGGTCATATCTGCCACAAATTCCGTCAGCTTTTCATAGTAGCGCCTTTGTATTCTTTCTTCCATGGTGGCAAGGTCTTAAAAACACAAAAAGTAAAACATTTTCAAAGCTTTAAGGTTGTTCCAATGTGAATACTGCCCACACTCCTGACTGACAAGAATATATACTTCCTGCCCAAGCAGCCCTGGAACTAAGCTGATTCATTATGGAAGGCTATTCAGCAATTCGTGAAGAAAACAGGGACACTTTTCCACGATTATTTTTGATCGAGGGCCTAATGTTTAAGTTTTCGCTACTGTTAAGAAGGTTCTTTGGTTTTAAACAAAGGAAACTATACCAACATGATCAATATATATTTAAGTATAATATTATACACTTTCACATGCAATGTGTGTATCATATGTACAAAGAGAAGAGGAAAATCCAGAATTAAGAACAAAACCTCTGTAGTTTTGTGATCCTAGTGTGAGACTTTAATAACATCATTTTATTTTCTTTATTCATTTTCACTGTTACTGTAGCGACAAGTGATACTGACTCACCATTTATGGTGGTAAAGTGTCTACTTAAATCAATTTAAGGGAAAAATATTAGCTGATACAAAGAAAAATATTAGTCTGTAATAGTACAAGCATGCAGAAATGACAGAAGTCATTAGGGTGGTACACAGGTAACTGCTTTGGAATATACAGAGCTAAATATGCCTAAAATAACATTGGGTCGTAGGAAAAAGTTGTATCTGAAGGAAAATTCCATACATAATTTTACAATACATAAAAATTTAGGAGAGTAAAAGGCCTCTCAAATCAATCTAGGATTGACAGAAACACAATTCTAAACTAAATCTCAATAATTATTTTCAAATTTGAGAAAATGATTTTAAAGCTCAGTCAAAAATAAAAGTTCATGACTAACAAACATTTGAAAAATACAAGCAATGAGAAAATTTAATCTATCAAATAACACAACATTGTAAATATAATTAATCATTAAATTGTGCATATAAAAAGTTAAAATGGCAAAATGTTACATACTTTAACACAGGCACACACACACAAACACGTGCACTTATGCACACACATGTACATGTACATCTTTGGGTTTCCATTTCTATCAGCAGGGGAAAATATGCAAACAAAGACAGCTGCAAAAGTATACCTAATGCCCTGACGAAATTCCAAACATGATCTGCCTACATCTATTCTGTGTGGGTTATGAAAAAGTAGGTACTTAACACATCATACCAGGATATTATCATTTTGGTACTTAAGTTCTGGGTGCTCACAGCCTGACTGGTTTAATAAAGTATGTGAGTAGTACCTGGACATTTTATGATTTCTACTTAATTATTTATCCCTTGAAAGGAAAAAAGTACTAGGAGAACATATCAGAAAGTAATGACAAACTTGGGTAGGGAAAAAGACTAAGAGCAGAACTCCAAAGGCAGAATTTCTAGTGATTAATAAATTTTAATCCAAAAATGTTAAAAAACTATCATATGCTCTCTTAAAATCACTATAAAACATTTAAATGTCCTTACTATATAGAGTCCTTAAATAGCATTAACAACATAGATATCTTAAGAGATTAATGGGAAAATACACAAATAGTAAATTCATATAAAAAATGTTCAAACAGTATGTACATCACTATTTATTAAAATCATGCCAAGTCAAAGAACCACTTTCTTTGTCCAGGTTAGCAGAAATTAAAAATTATTTATCAACCTATTAACAGAGGTTGCCTCTGTAAGGGAGAGAATAAGTGTGGCAGTAAATTTTATATTTTATTCTCTATACCTCTTTAACATCTGCATCTGTACACCAAATACATTATTTTGAAACAAGTATTTTCAAAGAAAAAAATTTCCCCTCAAAAGTGATAATACTCAGTGTTTTCAAGAGCACAGGGAAAAGGGTACACATATATACTATCAGTGGACACTGGTTAAATTTGCTGGAGTGCAATTTTAAAATATTTAGCAAAAGCCTAAAATGTACATATATCCTGTGGCCCAGAAATTCTAATTCTAGGAATTTTTCCTATAAAAATAAGTGCAGGCAGATGTATGAACAAAGATGTTCACATAAGTGTTGTTTATAGTACCAAAATTGCAAAAACCAAAAAATCCATTAATGGAGGGATGTTTCAATAAATTATCATAAATTCCATACAATTAAAAACAATGTAGGTCTACACCACTGCTGATGTGAGAAAGGTATTCATAATTTATGGAGTCGGCTATAAACTGCTGATCTTGTTGGTTCCCTCATACTTCCAAGAGAAATAACTATTTTCAATTTAGTCTATATCTTTCTAGACATTTTCTATGTATTTCTTTTTTTTAAAGGTATTTTTAAAGATATTTATGTACCTTTAGAAAATATATAATTGTTTACTGTATAAAACCTCGATATTGTTCTGAAACTCATTTTTCTTGTAACAGTATTTCTTGGACATTGTATTATATATACATACTTACATAAGATGATGTTTATCTATAGGGTGGTATAAAAGAAGATAGGAAAACAGCCTGGTATGTACTATAGACCTGTTTACATAAGATGATGTTTATCTGGGTGGTATAAAAGAAGACAGGAAAACAGTCCTGGCTGGGGTGGCTCAGTGGACTGAGCACTGGCCTGAGAACTGAAAGGTTGCCGGTTCAATTCCCAGTCAGGGCACATGCCTGGGTTGTGGGTCAGGTCCCTAGTAGTGGATGTCTAAGATGCAACCACACTGATGTTTCTCTCCCTCTTTCTCCTACCCTGCCCTTCTCTCTAAAAATAAACAAATAAATAAAAATCTTTAGAAAAGGAAAATAGTCTAGCTCTTCAAGAAAATAGTTTTGGTCAAATAACTTAGGGTATGTTAAAGTTACAGACTATATAAAGTCATTAATTCATGTTGTTGAAGGTTAATGACACAGGAAGATGTCTGTCAGACATATCATTATTTAATTTCAGTTTTAACACCCCCCCACCAATATAATGGAATTTGATGAGGAAAAGATAAAATTCATCTTTTATCTTTTATCTTTTCCTATTTTATCTTTTCCTATTTTTTAAAATTTCCTAAATTTTTTATAATTAACCTGTGTTATTTTTAGAAGTAGAATTATCTACCTACCTACCTAAAGCAGATTATACAAATCTGAAATGCATACAAGGATTAACTTGTATCTTCAACTTCAGGAGAAGAGAGATAACTACTTATTTGTGTTATCTTTTTTTTTTTTTTTAAACCATGAAAGTTGCTTTTGGGTTTTTTAAAAATTTTTATTTTTAGTAGAGATTCAAGAGAAATGAGGCTATTTTCTCTTGGATCTCTGCTGTGGGTCCATCAAGTCGCTCTCCTTCAGGAAAAGATGAGGAAGAGGATGAGAGGCTCAGACCCTGGCCCATTCATTCTGTTGTATAGCTGCATAATACTCTGCTTCTATATCATTCAATTTAGCTACTCCTGTACTGATGGCTATTTATTTAATTTCCAGTATTTTTGCAATTATGAACACCGTTATGATGAACACTGTACTTACGTACATGTAAATTCTAAGAAATGAAACTGCTAGGTCCAAGGGTGTGTACATTTAAACATTTATACCTACTCCTAATTTATCCTACAAGTTACCACACTTATTTATACTCCCATGAAACTTGCTCAACACATCCTTATGGTATATTAATATTATGAATAAACAAAATATCTGCTGACACTTCTGAAAAAGCTTCATATTCAACTCCAGTACGTACCCATAGGTTCCTTAATAACACCATAATAATCTGGTGCATCATTAGGATCCACTGGTTCCAGGAAGGGCCAGGCCATCTTATGTGCCTGCAATGAAAAAGAAAAGGCCATTCTTATCGTCTGGTAGAAACACTAATCCACTTAAGTACCTTAGTGGAGTTAACTCCAAAAGTCTTAAACTGGATAGATAATATTTATACTGAGATGATTTTTGCTCTAGTCACAACTTACCTCAGATGGGCATATGCTATAGTAACAGTTTTCACAGGGTTATCTGAGGACCTGGGCATGAAGGCGGGGGGCGGGGGGCGGGGGGGAAGCTCCAAGTGTGGGATGGTTACCACTGCTGGCTAATGAGGTGGCAGAGATGTGATGTTAAATAACATTCAACCACATATTGAGACTTTGCTCTGCTTTTAGTTCTTTCCATTCTCCTGACTGTGATTACAACAGAACAAAGTATCAATCTAGCACTCACGTCTTGAATACATCTCTAGCATTTGCTGATCTTGTAAGCCATCACCATTTCCTGTTGATTTTTAATAAGCAAGGGAAGGCTTTGGCTCAAAGCCTTAGATAAGCATTTCCATCTCACTAGAATTTAATCAGGCTGTTGTTCAACCTATGGTGGTGGGAAAAAGTTTTCTTTAAAAATAAAATTTAGGTTGAAAAAGTGAGTCATTTTAAATATGAGTGCTGGATAAACAGCAGCTGAGCTATTGTGTGGATGCAGAAACTTCATGACACTGGCATGCGAAGGACTGAAGCCTGGGGAGCACTTCACTAGACTGGCTAGGAGTCAGCAGATAATCAGGTGCTCTACTTGGAAAGGTCAATTCCTAGAATTGTTTCCAAAGTCACGATGGTGGATTTCATCTTCAGACTCTGCACACAGTGGTTTCTTACCTGTAAAGAACGCAGCACCCTCTTCAAACCCTCATAATCTTTCTCGGTCAGTGGCGTGAGCACTGTCATGGCATCCTCTGTTGACTGGCACTGTGGACAGACATACTCATCAATGAGCTCTGCCTCACTCTGCAAGATGCCAACGCAGCGCCCATGGTACCAATTCTGACACCGATCACAGCCAATATAAAATCTGCAAGATCCGAAATGGAAATGTGAGTTCAAAACAGATAGAATCATATTACTTATAATTTATTTTAAAAGGTAATAAAACATGCACCTGAAAATCTTCTAACTCTGGGATATAAAACAGATTTAGTATTATACTCGTTTAATACTTTTGAAGACTGATGTTCCCATGTGTTAATTTAGTATTTCTGATGTTAAAAACAAGCATTAAAAGTTTATTAAGGACACTGTATAATATTAGAGAACCAATACAAAAAAAAAAAGAGTAAAACATTTTAATTGACTTTAAAGCTAAAAACAAAATAGAGACAGAAATCTCAACAAGTACCATATCAAATGGGAAGCTGATATTGGTCACCCAACAGGGAGTTCAAAATCCTAAAAGCTAAAAAGTCTCAGAGCTTGTATCCAAATTAATATTTTTCTAGCCTACGAGAAAGCGCCATTTCAAACACTGATGGAGTCCAAACAAGTCAGGCTATTTTAATCTCATTAATTTCTATGTTACATATTGAAGAATCAAGTCTACCATTAAGCCATATTTTCCCCAATGCATCCAAACATTCACTATGAAGCAACATAAATTTTGAAGGGGAGATAAAGAGGGAAAAGAGAAAAAAAATTGGAAAGGAATTTGTAATGTAAGTGTGTAATATATGCAGAAAATATCTTGCTTTTTTAAAAAATAAATAAGTAATCAGTCAGAGCAATTTGGCTTCCTAAATTATTAAATATGATGCTCTTATCAGAACTCACTGTGACTCATCATAAGGTGTTCTGCAGATACAGTACAATTCCTCACTGCTGCCCTCTTGTGCCCGTTTACAATCATTACAGATGTACACATCCATTTTCTTAGCCTCCTTTTCTGTGATGCCAACACATTCTCCATGATACCAGTTAGTACAAAGATCACAGCCAATATAGAACCTAAAAGTATTCACAATGAAAATGACAATGTAATTGTCATTTTGAGCTGCATTGTACTTAAATCTGTCTTCCCTGCCCTGATTCACTTTATTACAGGATAACTTTCTGCAATGAGTCAGCTAAACATCCTGAATCCAACCATTCTATCCCTGGCAAACTACAGCATCTGACACTTTATCAAGTGTAAAAACATAAAGTCACTCACATCAATTTCAACAAATAGACTGTTTAGTGAAATATGGGTCTTTAAAAACATACTGGAATTTGAAAAAAATAAAGAACACACTGATGGTAATGTCTGCCTCTTAATGAACATGTGTAAAACTGTAACAGGCACAAAAACCAAAGCCAAAGGATCAAAGACTTACATCTGTCAAACCTATGCCACAGAAGCCATTTCAAAATCAGGGCTATTTCTTAGATAGGTTTGAAAATGTATCTCACAATTTAAATTTGAAAACAAAGCAAAGCGCAAACACCAAGCAGAAGTTACACTACAAGAAACATGCAGGTCAGCCAGGTGTAAAAGATAAATGGTCAAAATATGATATGAAGAAGAAAACTAAGAAAGGTACATGTAGGAATTCAATTTCTACCAACTTTTCTAAATAGACATTGGAATTTAATCTCATTGTCACAGATTTTCAGTTAATACAATGTGTGTGACAATGTGGAGAGTGGCCAGGTTAATTAACTGTAAGGAACTGCGTCAATTAAAAACTAGGGGTACCTGGTGCAGTGTTGTAAGGATAGTTACCAAAAACAACCAGAGGTTCTACAGTATTGGCGAAGTGGGAACTATATGTGTGTAACTGGGCTCATCACATACAGTTAATAATCCTCAAGACTTTTCTATTATAAAGATCCCAAATGACAAAATGAAGAGTGTCTCTATGACAAACACATAGTGTATCTGAAAGTGTCAACAGGCACCGTGTAGGAACTCCATGTCAAAGTCATAGGAAGAATTAGTATGGATCACAGGGAACCAAACTGGCCTTGCTGATACCATTGGTTCTAGCAAGGTGTTCCTTGGTAGATTCACCTAGAGAAACAGAAGTAGTCCTCAAGCTTCAGACTTTATGAATGTTAAGCAATACAACATGGTTGTGTAGTTTATCCTACGATCACTAACTTTTTCTTTTGAATTATGACTCTCACATGATTTCCACTGCCACAAGCGGGGGCCGTCAAGGTGTTTTTGTATGCTGCCTTCACCAGATGGTGGGCTGTATGTCCTGGAAGTAAGCTCAGGACTTGAATTCAAGTTCTAGTTATTCTCACTAGATTCCCAAACCGATCTGGTCTGGTACAAGAGATTACAAAATAATCCTAAAAAAAACCCCAAACACTAACTCATCTGAACTTGAATAGGGAGTGAATGAACTTGATATACTGAAATGTTAATAATGACAAACTGAAAAATGACATATCCACAAAATAATAAGGCAATCTCAATACAATGAGCACAGATACATGTGTGCCTCATTTTTTGCAACTTTGATATTCCGTGAAATAAATTTCTGTCATCTTAATATTTTAAGTAGGCCAAAGAAGACTTATTTAAAGAGATTCCATAAGCAGATCTTTTTGTAAAGAAAGTAAACATGTTCTGTTTTGTTTTATAAATCATTTAGTATATTTTGCTTAAAGGAAGGCACACTTGTATTAGACTAAGGGAAAAATCAGTTAACAGGGCTCCACTTATTACATTATGTGTAATTTCCAATATAGTGACACAATGAAAAATGAAGATGCCTAAACTGATCTGTGTTTAATTCAACACACAGCTAAATCTTCCAAAAGAACTTTTGATCTAGCACTTGCAGATTATAACTGAAATAACACCAGCAAAGCAGCTTCCAGGCTGCAACTTGAACATCATTAAAGAGATCATTTTATTTTAGGAAGTGATTAGGCTCACATAGGAAGACATTAAGCATTCCAAGATCCTAAGTAATTGTATCTTTTAGCATAATCAAACTTTTTGGTACTGTAAAAAATATTGTGGTTAACTTTGGCTTTAAAAAGCTGGCCTACACTTAAATGTTCAAAATGGAAGCTAAATACTTAAATCATAATAATGATAAAAAATAAAACTACATTTAAGGATGAGATCTCTAAAATCTTGTATAGATTACCAAATACAAGTCACAACTGTCAAAAACAGCTTCCAGGTGCCATGCTTATCAAATTTATGTCTTACTTTAGGAATGGGTAAAAGGAATACTTTTTGTATTTTTCTGACTTTTTCCCCAATAAGGAAGTGGGAACTTTGACAAAAATAATACTGTTATATCATTCCAATTAAAAAAAATTGCTTAAAATTAAACAATAAAAAAACCAAAGCCACTCAAACTCAAAACCTCTTGCACTATTCATATTCACAGTCTCTAGAATTTGATGTATCAATGTTGTGAACAGATTCCAGGAAGGATGCTCTGAACCTTGGGCAGCGATAATAATACAACTCCTTCTCCAGACAGCATCACTGATTGATGTGGAGTTAATCCAGAGAGAAGAGGAGAAAGCCAAGGAGCAACAGAAAGCTTGTTTTTGACAGAAAAGAATATGAAGGACAAACACAAATCATGAACACAGGAAATAAAATTTTACTTGCTAGTGTCAAAGTTAAGAATATTAGATGCAAATCCACAGATGAAACACTATTATCCTTACTTTTAACTATTTTAATTTACGTTGCTACCATATACTCATTTTCTTCAAAACTGGAAGTTTAACATCTAAACTTTAAGAAAATAAACTAGAGCTCAAAAAGATCTACTCACTTAGATTCATCGTAAGGCGTTTTACAGATACAGTAAAGCTTTGTGTCCTTCTTAGTTTCCTTTGAGGTAGTAGAGATCATTTTCTTCTTCTTGGACTTGGAGCTTGAGTCTCTTTCCTCTTCTCGCTTCCTCTTCTGGGAAGCCACAGGCAGCGCGGCTGTGGCAGTGGCCTGGGGGCCTGAGTGCTGCGGGGGAGGCGGAGGCGGAGGCGAAGGCGGAGGGGCTGGAGGTGCAGGAGGTGCTGCAGGGGGGGTGGCAGCTGCTGCTGTAGCCTGCACCATTTCCTTTTCTTTCTTAATTTTCAGGTCTCTCTTGAGCTCTTCCTATTGTCAATTAAAGACAATACAAGACTATCATTTGACTTATGTAAATGCATGACCTGGCCAGAGGATGTTACATTACCTCCCCTGTTGAAAGTAGCTTGCTCCATAGTCCAGCCTAATGTGAGGGAACTGTAGTAATTCCAAATACCCCAGTTCTTCCCATACCTTTAACCCAATTAAAACAACTTGAGCCCTAGCTGGTATGTATGGCTCAGTGCATCAGGTACAGGCCTGTGAATCAAAAGATCACTGGTTTGATTCCCAGTCAGGGCACATGCCTGGTTGCAGACCAGGTCCCCACTTGGGGACATGTGAGAGGCAACCAATCGATATATCTCCTGCATGTTTCTCTCCCTCTTTTTCTTACCCCCCCCCCAAAAAAAGCATAAAATCTTAAAAAGGAAAAAAAACCCAAAAACTCGAAAGGGAAGGTGAAGATGACAACTAGAGAGCTTCTAGTTGTCCTCAAAAGAGATCTGACAGAATGAAGCACAAGTGCCTAACAAGAAACGCGCCCCCTTGGCTTGCCCCCTGCTGTGAACTGGTTATTTGAGTCCTGGCTCAGGATGTGATTTCAGGTGTCCTTGCCTGCTGGCTGCATCCCTCTTGCTGCTCTCCTTCCGTGTCCTTAGAGTGAGACTGAACATGAACTGAACATGATACTCAAACTTAACAGCTCAAAGCAGAACAAGAGACAGATTTGTCTTGTTTCTATGTAGCTATGTCAAGGATTTAAGGCTGCAGGGAGTGCATTTTCTCATTACAGATTGTGGCATAAATTAAAATCCTTACTTTTTTTTTTAATGTGAAATACTTTACAGACACACTTCTGCTACCAGGTGCTACAACTTATTCTTAGAAAAATCAGTGTGACTGGCATCCACAAACAAACATGGTGTAAATAAACCATAGTTATGACCAAGCTTTTAAGCAAAACAAATATCCTAATAAATCTGAATGGTTCTGGTTTAATAAATCTAGATAGTTCTGTAAGTGAGAAGGTAAGCTCTGTGACTTTTCAACAGCCCTTCTCTATTTAAAAGAGAAAGTCTTAACTTTTTCCTGGGGAAGAAAGTAAATCTTGAGTTTCACTTTCGTAATTAATATAGGTTTATAACAATGAGATGACTGCAGGAAAATCAAGACCGCTAAGATGGTGTAGCGGTTACACACTTTGATCGCTTTGATCCCTTCTTCAAGAACATACCAATGATAGTAAAATATGAAAAAGAGAAACCTGAAGAGACAGCCATGCTTGAATACCACAGAAATGTTTCTGTGGAATGGAAACACAAAACTGAACAGGGCAAGAACTGCAGGCCTGCTGGGCTCCCAATTCAGAAGCAGGAAGTGGTAGCCCGACAACAGTAACAGAGAGAAGGGGACTCAAACTTCATGTGAGGTGGGCAACGAGCAGGCTCCCTCCTTGATGTAAAGGGGTGGCCGGCTGCAGTGGGCTTTGAGAGAGGAAACAAAACCAAACCCCTCACACATACAATACCAAAAGCAAAACCAAATGACAATAAAACATGTAATGTGAACAAAGACTATTAACAAAATCAATAACCAAATCTGAATTCATTCCATATGAAATTAATTTTATAGAACAATGTGACAGAAACTTTATAATACATATGTTTGAGACATTCAAAGAGGCAAGTGAAGGTGTAAGTTCTATTAAAAAATGAGTGAATTATTTTATTAAAAAGACAAACAGGGATGGAGGAGGGATGAAAAGGTAGAACGCAGGACATTTGTAGGGCAGTGAAACTATTACATATAACAATGTAAAGACATGCTTCTGTATTCTGTATGTAACATGGATATATGACACTATGCCTTTGTCAAAGGCACAGGCTGTGTAACACAAAACTTGAAACTTAATGTGAACTGTGGGCTTCAGTTAATAGTAATGTATCAATATTGGCACATCAATTGTAACAAGTATGCCACACTAATGCAAAATGTTAATAATAGGAAAAATTGTGGGACTGGGGCGAAGTGTATGAGAACGCTCTACCTTCTGCATAATTTTTCTCAAAATTTAAAACTGCCTTAAAAAAAGTCTATTAAAAAACTGACAAGCAGAAATGATAAGAATAGGTAAATATAAAGAACCAGTCACACATCTTAAAAATAAAAATCATTATAATGCTGAATATTTTCTTAAGGTATAATTTTTCACCCTCATTAGATAGTACATTGTCAAAGAGAACCATAACTGTATAACAGTCACAACAGTAATAACATTTTTAAATGCCTGCATACGATACTGAATGCAGAAAAATGTTCAGTATTATTTGTCTCTAGTGTGTGTTTTGTATAAAATGTGTGTATATGAATACAGAATATAAACAAGTTATATTCTAAAATTATTTTAAAATGGTAATCTTAGGGCAGTAGCACTTGTAATTTTTAATTGTTGGCTAAAACTAACTGCTTTGAAAGATATTTCAATGTATGTGTCTTATTTACTTACAAAAGCTATAGAATATTGCCCTACTTTGTGCAGAATATGGAACAGGAACAGTTCGGAAAATACCCAAATGTTAAATAAACATTTGTTTGTAACCAGCATTTTTCATTCAAATGTTTATAAGATTATTTCATTCAAATACTTATGAAACTTTCCCTCAAAAAATTAAAAACAAAAAAGCACCAATCCTACATGCACTGTTTTTGTTAAAATGGTAGTATACTATGTGGATACTCCAAAACATATTTAATCCAGTGGTTCTCAGCTGGGGGCGATAATGGTATCTTTGGAGAGTGTTTGGGAATGTATGTGTAGGGGATAAGGTCAACTCCTTTGGTTGTTACAATAAAGGGAAAAACCACTAGCATTTGGAACCCAAAGCTAAACTTCCTAAAGTCTGGAAAAACTGGCCTGTTGAACGGGCCCCAAGTGCTGCAACTAAGAAACACGTATTACCAACCTCTTACCTGTGGACTTTGGGCTGATTTCAGATTTTTGTTATGACTAATATTCATTATGCCCTTGCTCATATAATTTGCCTACTTGTTTGTTAGATGGTTCTAGAAGTAAAATTATGGATCAAAGACTATTCACATTTTACAGTCTTTTCATACATACCAATGAAATGCTCTCTAGAAATACATGGTATTTTCTCTAGAAAATAATTTATTTCATTATTAGGTTGAATATTTTTATATGTTTATTGATATTTAACATTGTTGATTTAAAAACTGCTTATTTATTTGTTTTACACTACTGGAGTTTTTTTTTTTAAATTTCAACTTTACTGAGGCATAACTGACAAAATTATAAAATATTTAAAGTGTACAACACTGTAGTAATCTGATTTACATGGATATTGTGTAAGAATTCCCCTCAACTAGAAAGTTAGTATTTTTCTTATTGACTTAAGAGCTCTTTAAACTTTAGAAATACTAATTCTGCCATAAATGTTAAAATTTTTTTTCCTATTTGTTATATGTTCTACAATGTTGTTTATGGTATTTTTTTCCCCTATACACATTTTTTTCCTTATGCCATCACATCTCTCTTTTTCCTTTGCGGCATTCGAAATCTATAATGCTTAGGAGTGATTTTTCTTACCCCAATATTACAAAAACAACAATCATGGTGGGTTTGTTTTTGGGTTTTTTTTTGTTATTTTTGTGGTTTCCTTTTTTCAACTAAAATTTTTATCTATAAAATGTATCTTAAAGTGGCAGGTAGTATATTATATACTCTGTTGATCCTGTGAATTGGCTCCCTTGTTTATTATACCTTGACAATGGTTGTAGTCCTGACATTTATTGATTACCTTACTGAATTCTCTCATAAATTTTCATAATTTTTCTTTTGGGGCTGATATAATAATCATATCATACACAATAACAACTTTATCTTCTTTTTTCTTTTCTTAGATTAACATATTAGCTAGAATTTCCAGAGATGCTAAATAATAATGTTGACTTTTGGCACTGTCGTCTGGTTTCTGACATTAGTGGGAAGATCTCTAATGTCTTAGGAGTTACGCTGATTTTGGAGCTGATCAATATTTTAATATTTCTCACCTTAAAGTATACAAAGCACTTTTAGGGATGCTTAATATAGCCTAGTTCTCTTTTAAAAAGCTATTTAAATATATTTGAATAAATGTTTTCTTTCATTTTTCAATAAATTCCCCCAAAAAGCAGAGGACTGTCAATGCTCGCCACATCAGTTATAAAGCCAGGAAGAAAGGTGGCATTATTCAATGGGCACACCTTATTTTTCATTTTCCCGCAGTATTTCACAGTTTCTGTAGCTACCTTTCTCATGAAAAGTTGGCTCCTGGGAACTTCCGATAAGACTATGTCCTAGAGAATAAAAGCTATTTCCAAGAGACTTCCCAAATGTTTTAGTCAACATACTAACCTCTTAGAGTGCCTACTTTAGAGGTTACAACATCCATTTAGATACAAGATCTCTAAGATATATCCCACAGTTTTTTACTAAATATATAAAAATGTAAACTCTAGAAAACAAGCTGAAATTTTAAGTTTAACCAAAATTTCAAGGGTAAAAAAAAGAATAAAATTAGATGCTAAAAACGAGACACAGAAGGAAAGGGAATACCATCTTACCTGCACTTCAATTTGTAGATCTTTGTCCAACAGAGCTCTCTTTTTCAGTATTTCAGCTTTGAGTTGCTCTTTGTGTTTGAAGAGCAGGGCAGAGAGCTTGGTAGCATTCTGCTTGCTACGTTTCTGTTCCACACTCTCTTCGCGCTTTCGTTTTTTCGCAGCTTGTTTTTCTTCTTTATCTATCTTATCCAAAATATACTTCATCACCTGGTTACAGACAATCATTCTAGAGAGAAATACACAACCTATGTAACGCTGGGCATTTCATTCCGAAAGGCTTAAGACATGATTTTTTTATGTCTCTACAGGTGATATACCATCATTCAATGACTGTAAAGCTTCATAAAGGGATTCAAGCCAGGTATCAAAAACTTATTAGTGTAGGGGTCCGCATTTAATTAATGTCAATCGAGATTACAAAGTATAAACTCACAACCTGTGCACTTGTATGCTAAAGAGAAGAGACTGATATACAATAAGACCCTGTTATTGGGTTATAAACATCTTTCCCTACCTTTGATTCTCTTCTCTTTCCGCTGGAGTCATGGTCTTTTTCTGTTTTAAATGTTCTATTACAGCATTATGTTTCATCACCACCTTCAGGACAGAACAAAATCCAAAGTGCATATTTTATAATGACTACAGGTTGGTACACAGATAATAGAAATCTGAGCACAAGTATGTGTTTCCCAAACAAAGTAAGAATTTTCTATCATAATACAAATAAAATTAGAGCTATATGGTCTGGGTGCTTACCATGTACTGACAATGCATCATTTATTTCTCATAACCCTGAAAGGTAGGAATAATTTTATAAAGAGATCCTGAAACAGAATAAAGACTGTATCTGTAATTTTAGCCCAGCCATCATTTTCCAAAATCCAAGTCTTTACCATTATGTTCTCTTCCCAGGCATTAATTTTAAAGATTCCCCTTACCCTGATCCTGCAGATGGGCTTAAAGGTATTAGGGTGAAGACAGATATTGTGATATATAAATCTCAATTTATAGACTATACAGTATTAAGAGCTGGGTAATAATGCATTTTAACACATTACTTAGGAAGTTAATTTTATATTTCTATTACCACAGATCTTTTAGATTCTCTTCCTATTTAAAAAGTGCTTTTGGCCTGGCTGGTGTGGCTCAGTGGATTGAGTGCAGGCCTGCAAACCAAAAGTTCACCGGTTCAGTCGCCAGTAAGGGCACATGCCTGGGTTGCGGGCCAGGTCCCTGATTGGGGGCATGCGAGAGGCAACCAATAGATGTCTCTCTCACACATCGATGTTTCTCTCCCTCTCTCTCCCTTCCTTCCCCCCCCTAAAAATAAACAAATAAAATCTTTAAAAAAATAAAAAGTGCTTCTAAAATATTGTATTATAATCATCAAAGCTGCTAAGAAACTAGATATTAATTACTGCAACCACTAAAAAGAAATGATAATTATGTGACATGATAAGAGGTACTCGTTAACATAAGAGCAATATTATAATATGTAAATGTATGAAATCAACATGGAGTATACCTTAAAATTTACACAATGCTATATGTCAAATATATTTCAATAAAAATAAAAGTGCTTCTACATACATGACCTCATTTAATCATTACAATGATCTTGGGTGGCTGGAAAGAGGGAGTTTTAGTGAGGATCTGGCTAGAGGAGACAAGTGAGTTTCAGGGGCTATGAATGGGAGACCCAGGGACTGAGTGCAGGCCTCATAACATGGGAACACTTGAAATCCACACTCAAACTCCTGACCAGTGCCAGGTGGTGCATGCTGTAGATGCAAAGAAAATTTTTTACAGTAATGTTATACATGTGACTTCATTTTAAGTAGAATAAATCTTACTCATCTAAATTGCCTTCACTAAGATGCTACTGTATAATGCCACTTTATAAGTAAGCTATGAAATAATATTTAAAACTTACAAAGGTGTGGCTAGAAATGCAAATGAGTTTAACCAGTATATAATTTGCTTAGTCTACATGCAAACTAAGGGATGACAACTGTAAATAACTTCAAATAAATTGCTATGATGCCTGAAGTGGCCTTAAAACTTCATTAAACCTTCCAATTTTGTATTAATGATACTTCAACTCCTAACTCCATTCTTCCCATCTTAGTTCTCCCAAAATGCAGGTAGTTTTTCTAATAAGCACTGACTATTGCCAACAAAGAGCTCCAAACCATAGCAGTCATTCAATATTTTGGTCAAACCAGTGCTGCTTCTAAAGTGAAAACATCAGTGACTTTTGTCTCATTCAGGAAACCTAACGCAATCAAACACTAAGTCTAATGCACAGCACAATAATTCAAGCTACTGAACATGCTGCTTTTACTTAATAACTTTACCTGTTTCTGAATGATTTCACTTTGATTAGAAGCTTGGAGGGTGTGTTCCCGCTTAATTTCTATCTGTTGCTGTTTCTTCTTTTGCTGCTGATCCCTGAGTTGCTGAACCCTTTGCAACTGCTCTTGCACACTGGCTGCCTGCACTGTAACCACATTCTGAATCTGGTGAGTCTGCACAGGACTGCTTTGCTGAATTTGAATAGGTAACTGGAGTTTGATTTGCTGGGGCACACCACCTTGCTGAGCCTGTATCTGAGCCACAACCTGCGACTGGATCTGAGAGAGAACCTGGACTTGCTGCAGCTGAGGCACAGCAATGACTTGGGGCTGTGGCTGCTGTATTTGTAGCTGAGGACGGGATGGGGATGAAACAGTAACTTGACTTAACGTCTGTCCCGATGAAAGAGTTTGAGGTGAAGACTGTACCTGGGGTTGTGATTGTGGCTGGCCCTGGGTAGGTATCTGAAGAGATGTATGTGGCTGAATTGGAATCGGTTGTGAGGTTGTAGTCTGAACCTGGGATTGCTGACCAGGAGACACCTGGGATGGAGTTGATGGACGTATTCGAGCCTGTGGTGGACTTTGGACGCAAGCAGAAGACTGTCCTTGGACATTACTTTGAGGCTGACACTGTACTGCAACTTGGGGTTTGGATGACTGTGCTTGGGTGGGTTGTGCTTCAGAAGGGACATGGGATGCAACAGTTGTTTGGGTCTGAACTTCAGGCTGAGTCTGAACTTCAGGCTGAGCTGGGGACTGGGGCTGAGTTTGGGGCTGGGGCTGAGCTGAAGGCTGAGCAGTCTGTGGCTGGGATTCCGGAGGATTCACACTTGATGACTGAGCTGGTGGCAGGGTTTTGGCTTGTTGCACCTGTGTTGGGGGTGATAATTTACTCTGTCTTTGTTCATTTGTACCTGTGAAAAAGAAAAACCAAATAATTCTATTACTCTAGGAGAACAAAAGACAGAGGTTAAAGAAGAATTTGAAGGGGATTTTCTAATGGTGAGAATTCCCTATTTCACTATAAAAGACTGATGCCTTAGAAAGGCTTCATTTAGACAAAGTTGGGTTAGGAATCTTTGAAATTGGGGAGTGTGGGCCCTGTTTTATGGCCACCTTCTGCGCACTTTGCTGACTCTCCAGAAAGCTGGCTTCCAATGTAAAGGCCCAGTCTCTGAAAACTAGCCAGGCCTTTTGGCCCAGGTGAGCGCTCTCCCTCGTTTTTCTTCCATGGTGTGGTGGCAGTTAGTGACAGCAGCTTGCAGAAGGTAAACGAAGTCGTTCTGGACCTGCAGCTCTCACTTGCAGGTAATGAGCTGGACCTATACAATTTCCCATCCACCCCAATTCAATCAGTGCCTACAAGGCTTCCAAGGAATGTGGGTGTAGTTACCACAATATCTACCCCCTCACTTCCCTTTCGATATATTTTATGAGAGGTGAAGATGAAAGAGTCTGCCAAATAAGAGATCTTGTTGAGATCTTGTAAGATTGACCAGCCAACTGTTAAGCTTACTGGCTTGAGGTACATCCTCCCAAAGCTAAGCACTGGTCTCTTATCCCCCTATTAGCCCAGCAACTTGTGGTAATAACACACAGCGCTTCCAATAAACCCAAGCTCTACCTGCTGCTGTGGTGGAAACAGCGGTGGTGGTGGTGGTGCTGGCTGTTGTGGCTGTTGTTGCCAATGGGGTAAAGAGGAATCGCTGAACAGTACCGTTTGGCATCGCAGCTTGCATCAGCTGCTGTCCTGGACCTGGAAGTACAGTCACCCCTTGAGGTATCAACTGCAATTGTCCAGTAGTTTGACCTTGTCCTTGAATTACTACTGTCAAACCTTGATTGCCACCCTATGGGAAAAGCAAACAACATGTAAACAGTATTCAAAGCATCAATCTGTAAGTACACCATTTTTATGTTAAAAGATTCTATAAAATAATGAAAATATATCTTTGAATATATATGGAATGTCACCAGAAGGAATTCAGATAAGTTCAAATAAGAATATTTATTTAAAAAGACTTATGCTGTTTATTAGAAAAACCATGAGCTAACAACCCAGAGTGTTCTGGTCCAACTCTCCAAATGGACAGCCAAGAACCTGTCTATAAGTAACAGAACTCCACCAGATCTAAATCATCCAAATTAAAAATACAGTACTTCCTCTTATCTATTATTTTGCTTTCCACAATTAGTTACCCATGGCCAAGTGTTATACAGATATATTAAATGGAAAATTCCAGAAATAAATGATTCATAAGTTCTAAATTGTGTGCCGTTATGAATAGTGTGATGAAATCTCGCACTGACTGCTTCCAGCCACCCAGAGTGTGAATCATTCCTTTGTCTAGCTTATCTTTATCTATGCTGTATATGCTCCCCACTCATTTGTCACTTTAATAATCCTCTTGGTTATCAGATCAAATGTCTCACTACTGCAGTGTTTGTTGTGTTCAAGTGACCCTTACTTTACTTAATGATGCCCAGAAAGCACAAGGGTAGTGATTCCAGTCATTTAGATATGCCAAAGAAGAGCCTTAAAGTGCTTCCTTTGAGTGAAAACGTATGTATGTATAGGAAAAAACATAATATATATACAGGGTTCGGTACTGTCCATGGTTTCAGGCATTGACCGGAGTCTTGGAATGTATCCCCTACAAATAAGGGGGGGACTACTGTAAGGGCAAGAAGTAAAATACTAACATCAACACAAAATTCTGATTTTCAATAATCTTATATTCATATTGTTTTACAATTTCAAAGCATCTTTACACATACTGCCTGCCTTGTGATTTTTCTCACAAAGAACTTGTGACTTTGTGGAGTAGGGCAAGAATATATTACTATGATCTTAAAAGCAATTAAGAAACTCAAGTTGGCCCTGGCTGGTGTGGCTCAGTGGACTGAGTGCCAGCCTGCGAACCAAGGGGTCACTGGTTCTACTCCCAGTCAGGGCACATGCCTGGATTGTGGGTCAGGTTCCCAGTAGGGGGTACATGAGAAGCAACCACACACTGACGTTTCTCTCCCTCTTTTTCTCCCTCCCTTCTCCTCTGCCTAAAAATAAAGAAATAAAATAAAATCTAAAAGAAAAAAAAAAAGAAAAAGAAACTTAAGTTGGAAAGTTCATGTTCCTTGTCCAAAGTTAGAGACCACGTTAAAGGTGAGATAAAACGAGGAACCCAGGTCTGCCAGGTATTCAGTATTTACCAAATTATCTAAGCTTAGGCTTTCAGGCACGGAAAGCAAATACCAAGTAAGGAGGGTCACTAACGTTTGAGCAGCTGTCAACATGGGGACCAGGAATTAAACTCTGCATGTACTGCCTCTTCTGTCCAGGACTTACTAATCTGGTAACCTTAACTACCAGCAACATGAAGAAGAATTAGAAAGCAAAAGAAAAACAGCCCACTCCAAATTCCCAACAGCCAAACTCTGTACTACAAAGTTCATGTACGAAATCTAAGCAACACATGCTTTACTTATGAGTCCGGTATTTATTTTTGCTTTCCTAAAAAGTATATTTTTGTATACATTCAAAAATAAGTGAACATCTGTAATACCAGGCCTCAGGTCATCATTGCCAGTATCTAAGAAGCTCCTCGTTTGACCTGCTCTGATCTTAATTCCCCTCCTTTTCCTACAGTAACCACTATTCTCACTGTTATGGTAATGTTTCATTCCTTCAGAGTACTACTACTTAGGTATAGATCTTTAAAGGTTCACAACATCAAGAGCACCATCCACAAAAAATATGAGAATGGCATCCCCTCTAGGTAGTCAACGCAGTCGCTCTGTATCCCTATACAATATGGTCACTTTTGCCCGTTTCTCAATTTTACACAAATGGAATCGCAATTTAAGTTTGTTGGAATATACCAGAATGTATTTATCTAACTGATTATATGCAGACATTTGGGTTGTTCCCAGTTTTGACTCATGAACAATGCTGCAATAAATATTCATTATCCAGGTACATACATGAACAGAACTTCTCTAGGGACTACACCTGGAAGCAGAACCACTGGGACCTGGGACTCACACATCTTCAACTTTTCTAGGTAATGTCTAGTTTTCCAAAATGGCTAAACCAATATGTACTACTACTACTAAACCAACTATGTAAACCAGTTGTGCATGAAGGAGTCATTGTGTGGTGCCTTTAGCTCTTCATTTGGTCCGTCATTTTTATTTCCACCAATCTCTTACATATATGGTTTTAAAAAGCATTTCCCTCATTACAAATAAAGTTCAGCATTTAGATGTCCTTTTTACTCAAGTTTTCTCTTTTTTATACTCAGCTACTAAATTTTTCTTCTCAATTTATATTATTTCTTCATGTACTCCTTGTTTGGTTGTATTTACACTTTCTCATTCTTTTCATTCTCTTTTATAATACAGTTGAATTTACTAAATTTTCGTTTATGGATAGTGTTTTCTGTATGTTTAATAAAGGCTTTTTGACCCTAAAGTTAGGAACAATGAGTGAGGTAGTGTCCACTCTCATGGTTTCCCATATTATTCAATTGCCCCAGCACCATTTACTGAAAATATCCTTTCCTCAATGATCTGCAATGCCAACTCTATCATATTATGAGTGTCCACATATGCCTGGGTCACTTTCTATACTTTTTATATTGTGCTGGTGGTCTACCTATCCTGTTTCTATACCTTACTCTATTAATTAGTGAAGGATTATAGTAAGTTTTCATATCAGGTTATTACACGACAAATTCTCCAGTTTTTCAAAACTACTACGGTTATTCTTGATCCTTGGCACTTCCATACAAATTTTAAAAATCTGCTTATCAAGTTCCATGGGAACTGCATTCAGTCTATTGGTTGCTATTAGAGTAACTGATAACAACACTGAGTCTTTCAAGGAAGCAGCTTAATGTACTCCAATTTTATTTTTCCCATGGAAATAGATCAATCAATAAAGTTTTGGTGGTTAAAAAGGTTATCCTTTTCACTGTTACAGCTCATGGTCTAAGGCTTCTAGATAGCTGAGGCTTATATCTTGCCTTTAAGAGGTATTTTTGTTTAACCCTAGAAAGTGGCCATTTCTTACTTAAAACAAGTACTTATTTAGTTTCTCCGAACAAGTACATTTTAACAAGGATAAATGAGATCATCTCTGAAGTTAAAATGATGGCGTATTACTTACGTGGCCCTGTGTTAACTGAGTGAGCTGAGCCATGGTAAGCTTCACCTGTCCTTGCTGGGGGCGAGGGGACTGTGAGGTTGAAGACTGCAGATTTGCAGTGGATGTTCCTGAAGTTAATCCTTTCTGCCCAGGTGTTGAAGAAACTGCATTAGGGGCAGAGATTGCAGTGGAAACAGGTTGTCCTCTGATGATCTGAGTCACTACTTGTTGAGGAGTACCTAGGCAAACAGCAAAACATTACAAATATTTACAGGCACTTAGCACTTCCAGTTGAAATACTCCAACACTTCGGATGAGTGTATTCAATTTTCAAAAAAGCCTCATGGGATGCCAACAGATCAAGGATGCATTCAGACATATACACACGACCGAAGGATCCACCTCGTCGTCAGTGAGCCTGTTTTCAGTCACATCACTGACAACCAAATCCAGTTACTGCTATCTGTAGTACAGCAAAAAAAGCGATTAATATTCTTCCTGTGTGTCTAAAGCCAAAATGACAATAGGAAAGACAGAGAAGAATATGTAAAACATGTCATTTATAAGGTTACTTTTCCTTAGGAATAGAACATTAAAATATTTAATATGAAATTAATTCACATGAATTGTAAACAAAACATACAGAATCTGAAATATTATGGGTCAATTATAAATATGCTTTTCCTACAGCATTGTGCCAGATAGTTTGGGAGAAGCGTGAGGGGAAGGATCACTATTATCCTCATCTTACTGTGCTTCATTTTGATGAGCTTCACAGATGTTACATTTTTTACAAACTTAAGACTTGCCACCAACAAAAAGATTATAACTTGCAATATTTGCTTTACTGCAATGACTTGGAACAAAACCGGTAATATCTGAGACATGCCTGTACTCTGGCAAAGTGCTCAAAGAAGGCTTCCATAGTTATTGTTCAATAAAAACTACTGATGACTGATGAATTTTAGAAGACTACAGTCTTCTAAAAACTTCCATTTCTCATTTAACTTTTTGAAACTGGAAGAAAGGGAAGTGGGATTCCCCCCTACTCTGCCCCCAGTAAAATGGTTGCTAAGAGTAATTATTTGGGAGCTAATTTTACATTTACAAAGTCCTATTCTTTATTAATTTGTGAATAATATCATATTTTCAAAGTTTTGCATTCACTTCCTTTTTCCCTTCTGTGAATGCATATTTTTGTGTATGTATCTGTGGTCAATATCATTGCATATGTATAAAACTGAACCTATTTTGTCATTTTGAATACCTTCCTTTTTTCATTTTTAAATAACACCATGGTGAAATCCTTGCTTATAAATTTTTTATTTATAATTATTTCCTTAAAATAAACACCCCCACAGTTACTAGGTTCATATTAGGAACACAGAACTTGAATTTTAGAAAGGCTATATATCTATTCATACTTCCACGACAACTGAGTGCTCATATCAATGAACAATAAAGCCCTAGGTACTATCACTAAAGCAAACTATTTCAGCCATCAGAAAGCATGACCACAGTACTTGAATGTCTTCAATTACTATAGAGGGTCAGCATATAAAACTGTCAAGTCATAATTCATTTGTGAATTTTCTTATAGTTGCTTTTTACAGGTTAAAGACATGGGTAAATTACAAAAATGTATTTTTCTAACTTTGCTGTCTGCCTTTTATTTGGAAACCTATAAAAGTTTTTTCATGTGAATTATCTTTATGCTTTAGTTTTTGCTCTTAAAGTTTTCTTGCATTCTCTAGTCAGATATAACTTCCTAAGTATATTCTTAGTCATAGTATATGTTGGCTATTTTCCCCCAAAACTGATTATTCCAGTATCATTTACTCATAAATCCAGTCCTTCCTTCTGATTAAAAAATGACACCTTTGTCATACAGCAAATTCTCATGTATAAATGCATCCTTAGTTGTTTCTTTTGGTCTACTTTTCTCTGGTATCGAGCTTCTAATTCTGGAGGCTTAAAATATACTTTAACAACTGGCAGTGCAAGTTTTCCATCATAACTCTTTCTTCTAAACTTTCCTTAATCTCACTCATTCTTCAAGATGAATTTAAAAAAACCATACAGCATGTGTAGTCAAATACCTTCATTTGAGAACTTCTGAACCTCAACAGTATGTCCTTGTACTGCAGGTCAAGGAACACTGCATGAAAAGTTACTTTAGTTGATCACTTGGTACTGATACGGTGTCATCACAAACACAGACAGATAAAAGGTTGGTACCAATTGATTAGATGATGGTCATTCAAATAATAATTATCAATATGTACATGTCATTTTTAGATTATCATCAAAATAACTCTAAAAAAATTTAAATTTTTGTGACATCCTCAGAGTCTGTGGATTCCACTTTAGGAAAGACTACTGGAGGGTAGGAACAGGGACAAACTGATCTGCACAAACTCAGACACATACAGCGTCCACCCATGGCACCTCTCTGACAGCAACTGTTATAGCTCTTCTCACCTTCACTGGGCCCTACCAGCCCCAGTGGCCATCTTGCTTTTCCTCTGATACAACAGCCCTACTCATATGTGAAGCCATAAAGATTCACATATGCAAGCCAAACATGCATTCATGGCTATACAAGGCTTTAGGGAATAAAGGCTCTATGTACCTTGCAATCACCAATTTTTTCTGCTTTACTAAAAGCACATCATAATTTATCACCTATTTTTTACCTCCTTCATATTATTTTATCTTTCTTTTTATCTCCCTGCCTGACATCTATTTTTTAACAGGAATGCACAGTGATTTTTATCAATCGTTCCAGTAGCATTAACTGAGATAAATCATATTTTGTTTTCTGTGATAAACCCTGCTTCGGCATAAAACAAAAAACTGCCTAAAACTATGCTATGTGTCTTATTAGAATTGTGCTAAATTTGTCAAATGAACAAAAAATTTTAATCTTTTCCTTCTCCATGCTCTAGAACAATTTTTTATAAGAAGGAATTGTTTCCTAATCATTTAAGAATTTTACCAATAAAATAATTAAATCTGGAATTATTTTTTTGTAGGTAATAATATGGCAAAACTTTCCAAATCTCTTTCCTTGACATGAGTCACTGAAATTTGAAATTCATAAGAATAATTATGCCTAATTATTCAAACAGATTTAATTCCTGAGTATAGATAGAATTTTTAAAGTCTTACCACAAGGATACCTGTACACAATTCTGTTCAGATTTTTAAAAGTTCATTCTATTTTTAAAGCACTGTATCATGCCTAGTTCTGTAAACTAGCAAGTTGTTATCTTTTCTAAATATCAGACTTGCCAAAAAAAGGCTTATTTTAATAATACTTGAATTTTTGTTTTCTAATTATATTTGTATTTTTATTTTACTTCCTCCTTCCTCTTTCCATTTAAAATTTGTTTAAAATACTTTTCTAACTTTTTATTAAGATTTAACAATATGATATTTTTGGTCTGTTTTGTTCACCAACGTACTTCAACTACCTAGAGTAGGTGCTCAAGGATTTGTTAAAGAATGAACTTGCCTCTGAGTTCAGCTTTGGCAGCATAGCTTAGTTGCTATTTGATACTCTGTGTGAAATTACACATTTTAATGTTTCTTTAACTTAAAAGTTACTTATGAGAACATATTATTTTTAATATAATCTTTATATTTTTTCTATTACCACTTAGAGAACATATTCAAAATTTCCAAATAAGTAATAGTTATTACTATAACACTTTAATATTACTTTAAAGCTTTACTACAAAGAATGTGGCCTAACAACATTTTACTTTTTGGAATTCATTAAGGTTTGACCCATGACACATTATATGACTGCTTTCATAAAAATCATTCATAAATATCTAAAACCAATGTATATTCCTACAAGTACAAAAATTGATACACAGTCTATTTTTGGTGTACTATGCTTCTGTTAATCCCTCCTTGATTTCAAATAATTTTTTATTAAAACACTTCAGTTTTTTAACTGAATAAATAATCTTATTTAGTTCATAAAGATCAAAGATTGTGTTTTCATTGCAACCTTTATCTTTAAGCCAATCTAAAATGACCCTTTTTGCCCTATTTAGGGTTTTTTTAAACACAGCAAATTCTACTCTAATATTAGCAGGATTATCTCCTCCCTCCCTCCTTCCCTCCTTCCCTCCTTCCCTCCTTCCCTCCTTCCTTCCTTCCTTTCTTTCTTTCTTCATTTGGCCTTTATTTCAAGTATCTTTGCCCATCTTTTTATTTTTAACCTTTTGTGGTAATTTGATTTTAGTTATGTTTCTAAAAGTATATAGTTGTATTTTTTTTCAATCTTTACTTTCTTCACAGTTTAATATGAGAGCTTCAGCCTATTCACATTAATAAAGGGTTGGCACAGCCTTTGTAATCTTGTTTTATGCTTTTTGTTTAAATGCTTCTTAGCTGTTTTCTTGATTTTATTTTCATCTTTTGATGCAGAGACTGTTTCCTTCCCTTATTTTCTACTCCAATTACTTGAATGTATATATTCTACTTATTAGAGGTTTAAAAAATATTTTAGAAAAGATTTTATTTATTTACTTTTAGAGAGAGGGAAAGGGAGGGAAAAAGAGAGGAAGAGAAACATCGATGTGTGAGAGAAACATCGAGCGGTTGCCTGTCTCATGCCCTCAGCCAGGGACCTGGCCCATAACCCAGCACGTGCCCTGACTGGGAATCAAACCGGTAACCTCTCAATTCACAGGTGGGTGGGCACTCAATCCACTGAGCCACACCAGCCAAAACTTGAAAAATATTTTTAATAAGCATGGTTGGATCTATTCTGCAATGCCAGAAATGAAATTAATACCTATGAATGCATTCTACGATGGCATAGAAATTTAGTATGCTTTGAAGTCTTAATTCAATTTGGTATTTTCTAGTATGTAGAGTGCCAAATACAGAATATTACAGATTTCCTGGACTGGTTGTTTAGATGTAAAATGATAATACTGGATGGAGGAATACCTGGCTGTACCATCACAGGTGTCCGAATAATTGCCTTTCCTAGTGTTGACTGTTGGAGTGGTGTTCTAATCACCGTCATACCAGGGCGGATCTGAGGCCCTGTGATTACCTATAAGTGACACAAAAGACAATGAATTAAAATGTTTTTAAAAGACTAAAGCATGATGGACCTAGAACACAGGTTTTTAAATACTGTATATTGATAAACAAATCTATAGACACGACAAAGATTCTTGGATATTACATTTTAAATTATATTACGCATCAGAATAAAAGGAGTTTTGAGAGGAGAAAATTTAATTCAAATGAGATCATGTGAAATTCCTTGTCATTGAGACCAAGAACAGCCTTCAGGCTAAAAGGAAGAAACAAGACCTAGTTAAGCTCTAATCTAGAATCACCATAGTTGCTCAGGGAAAAACGTTGCATTGCATTTTCTATGAGGTATAATCCCTATCTATAACCCTGGTTATATAAGAGTAAGATCACAAGCCAAATGTTCTTTTACAGTTTTAAAGGAGAGACTACAGAGCATGCTATTTTCAGTTTTATAGTTAGGAGCACAACATTTTCAAGTCTGCAAAACTTTAAAGCTTTACCATATTGCTAGTGCCAAAGAAATGATGTGTCTAAACAGTTGTACACATCAGCTGATTACAAATCTAGTTATAGTGCTGTGGATCATACTTTTCATTCTATTTCTTAGCTACACAGCAAGTTTCCTTGGGTGGTTCCATGCTCTCTAGTATTTTATATAAAGGAATTTTCTTTATAAAACCCTAGAAAGTAATTCTTATCATTCATAAACTATACTAATGTGCTATTAACTACATGTTAAACAATTCATGCATCATATTTACTTAGAAATAACAGGTTTTTTAAAAAAAATCAGTAATTTGTCACAGATTAGGTAAAAGGAAAAGAAAAATTAGAAGCTGGATTAACTGTGGAAAAGGTCATTCTAAAAACCTGATGTGGGTAACACTTTAAAGCAAAATAAGCCTGTAAAGAATTCTTACTTGTGATGTGCTCGTGGTTCCTCCAGAGCCCGAGGTATTGGGCCTAATAGTGACTGTTGCTGTCCTGGGTTGGAATGAAGTAAAGGTTTGCTGACTTGTACCTGTACTTGATGGAATGATACCCAGAACTTTTTGTTGTACTTGCACAACACCTTAAAAAAAGATAAAGAGTAATTAACAACTGCCCTTTCAATAAAAAGCATCAGGTGTCTCTCAGCTTCTGGGGAGAAACTAGGTGTGGCAGGGTTTTACAGTGGGCTACACAGAATGTGGTATCTGAGGACTGAAATCAGTGAAAAGGAAATGAAAAATGATGGCAACGGTATGATCTGGCAAATGTGAATTAAAACTCTTCACATTTCCCTTACCTCCTTGTGTTGCTGGCACATTTACAGCGACAATCTTGCTGTTTGCAGGAAGTGGCAGTTTGGTAATTACTTTTCCTGCCATAGTGACTGGATTGCCTGTAATTTGGAACGTCTGACCTGTGCTGGCAATGGTTGTAGCAGATGTGGCAGCTGTGCTGGTGGCTAATAGGGTATAAGACATTTAATAAGCTTTACATTTAAAATAACCAGCAACGTAGTGACTTCTAGGAAGGGCACCAATGCATGAAATGTGGTTCATTTTGTACTTAAAAAAAATAAAAAAATCCTCTCCACTCAAAGTGAACTATGTAAATGTTGAAAGTGAAATAATTTACGAGAGGAGTTTTGCTAATGTAATATTATCTGTAACAAGCCAATTGTTACAGCATGTTTGCTCAATCTGCTGCAGAAGAAAAACAATTTTCAAAAAAAAAAATGTTTTATTTCAGCAGGTAATTGACTGCAAATCTTTTTCTTGAATGAAAGCAATCTCTTATTTAATCATAATTTTGTACCTGAATTTGACTGGCCTTGCTTAACCCATGTAGCAAAGGTCTGATGGAAGTTCTTGTTCTGCTGGAATGTTACTGTAGCTGGAGATCCAACTTTAGTAGTTAGTACCATTTTAGTTCCAGGTGTAACTGAACCACTTATAGGGGCCACCATAACTTTCTGTGCTGGAGAGATGGTACTGGTTGTACTGTGTGTTGGTGAAGTTGTAGAAGCTGAAATTACTGTAGGCTTCTGCTGTTCCAACCGTTTCTAGAAAAGTCAGGGAGAGAAAATATGAACCAAAATAGTTCTAAATAAAATAATACCACTCTGCAATACATAAAGCTACAATCTCTCTCAATTTAAGAAACTGCACCAAATTTCAAAAATTTACTATTGAAAATATGCCCATATAAATTTACCTTGAATTTAATTTCTTGATGGAAATATTTTTAAGTCACATTATATTTTATTAAAAGTAGTAAGCTTTTCACAACAGATAATTAAAGGTTATCAAGTTTTTTCAGCCTCTACAAATGTCCAAGCTTTCAGACTGAAAAAGAGAGACATGGGCCATCTAACTAGACACAGGAACACCTTGCTCCTCGGTGGTATTTAGAGAAGATAACAAATGATACAAACTGTAAAAGGTTTAGGATTTACCATGTAATTTATCTAATCATAAAGAACATGTCAATGTTTAAACATCATTATTCAAGTTGGCAAACTGGCAATCAAGCAAGCTGAAAATTATAAAACAATTTCCCTAGACTTATTGTTGAATTCAAATATTTTTTATAAAATAATACTTTGGAGTATTTTGTATAGAGTAGTATAATCTGATCTTTGAGACTATATAGTTGCTGAAGACAATCCGTGTATCTTTTATCATAGGTTGCTATGATAGGTTATCATATTATATCATAGGTTGCTGTGATGATTTATCATAGGTAAGCTAACATTTCCTGACAGCTTACAAACACGATGGTGTAAGCTTACACAAATAAAAATAAAAGGTGGCATGGATTACAAACCTGGTGGCAGATACTTTACCATCTTTTTATTTTTATTTTTTTTAAAGCAACATTTGTATAGGACACCCAGGAATACCTATCACACTTGGAATTGCACTTAAAAAAAAAAAAAAAAAAGATTTTATTTACTTATTTTTAGAGAGAGGGGAAAGGAAGGAGGGAGGGAGGGAGGGAGGGGGAGAGAGAGAGAGAGAAACATGAATGTGTGGCTACCTCTTGAGTGCCCCCACTGAGGACCTGGACCACAATCCAGGCATGTGCCCGAACTAGAAATCGAACCTGTGAGCCTTTGGTTCACGGGCTGGCACTCAATCCACTGAGCTACATCGGCCAGGGCTCATTATCTTTTTTTAAAAAGATTTTACTTATTTATTTTCAGACAGAGGGGAAGGGAGGGAGAAAGAGAGGGAGAGAAACATTGATGTGTGAAGAAACACTGATCCTCTTGCATGTTCCCAGCTAGGAACCTGGCCTGCAAAACACACATGTGCCCTGACTGGGAATCAAATGGGCAACCTTTTGCTTTGTGGGACGTGCCCAACCCACTGGAACTCACTGGTCAGGGCTACCTTCATTTTCTTATTTAATGCTCAGACCAATCCAGTAAAGTTGCTGGCACTGTGATTTAATGATGAGAAAACTGAAACTCAGAGCGGTTGTGAGACTGGCCCGCAGCCTGAGCTAGTTAATGGTAGAAATGAGATCCAATTCCAATTCTGGACCCTCTCTTGTCATTGGAAACTACTCACCAATGACATCCCACTCCATCTTCCTAGGACTACTTTCGTACACATCTTCGGTGTCTGAGTACAACGTGAGGCATTTCACGTAACTTTTCATTCCTCAGAAGGAATGGAATTTAGTTGGGATACTTAGACATATCATATAATTGAATTAATAAAAAAAGGAGGCAGAAAAGACTGAACACATATTTAGCAGTTATTTCTGGGGGCTAAATCTTAAAAATTGGACACGTTGACTATCTTTGTAAATAAGAATGTTAAAGAAAATTTTTAAAGTATATCATTAGGTTACACTATTAGAGAGGACAAGACACTCACAAAATGAAAAATGAAACCACCAGCCAGTTTTTCTATGAATGAACAGAATCTAACAGTGCTGTTACCCCAAGCTTTATATAAGTAAAGATAATGACCCTATAGTAAACCAATGGAAAAGGTACCTAAGAGTCTAAAAAAAATGTTTTATAAAATGTGAGGGGAAAAAGGAGTTTGGAAAGAAGAGCTGGTTTATATAAAATGTAATTTTTAAAGTTATGTGGAACTTAAGTTAATGATATTATAAATAGATATCTATTTCATCTATATATCCAACATGGCTAAAAACTTTTATAGTATCTCCTTAATAGAAAAAAGGGGTAATCATCTTTTATGTGGGTCCCTAATATTCAGGCACATTGGTACATTATTTACAGTAGGGAAATGCTAAAAAGCAACTGGTAGCTTTATGATCATCAATTATAACAAATTCATAGAATTTCAATACAATTTGCTTTTCATAGACTACAGAGATTTTGCAGATTGTAATACTGCAGGAAAAGAATTACCTTTTGAAACTCTTCACTAAAAAAAGGAAAAAAAAAAGAACAGAAACGATCCTCTAAATTATCAAGATAATAAATCTTATTTCAAATGTTGTTCTCCGAATACGTACATTCTTTGCTAAACTACAGCTTGGTGTATCCACAGAGCTACTTTCAAGTAATGAAATTAAGATACATGCAAGATACACTTAAAAATAAAACCACATGAATGAATATATAATTACTGTGTTTTCAGTGTGCATGAGGTTGGCTAAAAATGTCAATTCATTGCCAGGTGGGACTGGTACCAACTCCCCCACCTGCTGGGCAGCCAACCGCTGCTGTTTGAGGTGAGCCTCCATTTGGGCCTTGAAGTCCTCTGCCTTCTTCTGTTCACTAACCTTAGCCTGTTGCTCAACTGCTTGTGCCTTTTCTTTCTCCACTCTGCAGGGAAAAAAAGGATGAACTTATCAGAAATTACCCTATTAGGTATTTGGCATCTAATATTAAGTGAAATCTCGTTGACTTTTACATCATGAAGAGGTATCAAATTATTTTGATTTAAAAATAAAACAGTTAAGAAATTAGATATTGACAAAAGGATAAAATTAGAACCAGGGCCGCCATAAATGATACACAACTAGTACTTAAAATCAAAAGGTAGTAACATCAGGACACATTGAATAAAGTATTAAGGGGGTAATTCTTTAATTATGAAATGATAAAATCTTCAAATATCTGATAACATGTTAACCATTTCCTTACCTCTCAGCAAACGCCCTGATCTCCCATAATTCCAACTCTTCCTCTGCTACCCAGGTTTCGATAATAACAGGGCCAGTTTGCTTGGGCGTTTCTGGTCTCTTTGGCCGCAATGCACTTGATCGAAGGCCTTTCCTCTGAGGTGTAGGTGTTTCTTGAGAAAACAAATTAGAGTATTTTAAGCAATATAAGTCCTAAAATTACAACACTTCTGGCATCTCCTCTTACATATCATGAAAAGCAGGGATTGCCAAACTTTTTCTTTAAAAGCCAGATGGTAAATACTATGTGGGCCAGATGGTCTCTTACAATTTTTTAACTCTGCCTTTGCACGACAAAAGGAGCCAAAAACAATATATAAATGAGTAAGTGTGGCTGTGTTCCAATTAAACTTTATTAACAAAAGTAGGTGATGGGGTCAAGACTCATGGGCCACGGTTTGCTGGCCCCTAATACGAAGGCCCACGAACCTTTCCACAGCTTGTTCCCTCTGGCTGCAACAGTATTCCTAGGCTCCCACCCCTCACTTGACCAACGACTACTTATCCTTCAGACCCTAACATGGAGACAATTTCCTTCAAGAAGCATGACTCGCTCTTCCAACAGCCTGTCTGGGTGTCTTGTCACATACAACTCCGGAGATCTGTATTTCCCTATCAAGGCAGGGGAGTGAGGCGTGGGAGGGCTTGAGAGTTACCAACATTAATGAAGAGATCTGAAAATATTAAGAATAGGTAAAATATCCTAATGATAAAATTTCCAAAATAAAAAGGAGGGAAAGACAAGCATTGAACCTTCCCATATGTTCAGGGAATAGGAAGGGGTAGAATCGAAGGAACACAGCAGAAGGAAACAGAAAAAGCAGTAGGACCTGTGTCGTACAAAGTAGCAAAAGCCACAGGAAAGTGATTTAAGGAGACCGCAGTGGTTTGCACTGAAGGCTGTGGGCTCAAGACTGAAGACTGGTCAGGAATACTTTCTTTGATCCATGTCTGCCTATCAATCAAGCTGTCTAATACTGTTCTAGGACAACAATGTTTTAATTATGCTATTATTTCATCATCTACTAGGACAAGTACCACCTTAACAGTGTTCTTTTAAAAAAGGCCATACTCAGGTATTTATTCCCCAGGACAAATTCATTTGCATTAATTCTATCAAGATTCAAAGGTAGGTTTATATACTTGGGGACAATTATAAAATAGTATGTTTCTATCTAAGAACAGCATTTTCCTTTTACTCATTTTTCCCCCCAAAAGAGAGAGAGAGAGAAACATCGATTTGTTGTTCCCTCCGTTTATGCACTCACTGGTTGACTCTTGTATGTGCTCTGACTGCGGATCAAACCCACAACCTTGGCGTATTGGGACAATACTCTAACCCAGCTGCACTACCCAGCCAGAGCTTTTCCACATTTCTTAATAGATTTTTTCATAAATACTTTTATTGCACATATAAAATAATATTATTGATTTTTCTCTATATATCCTGAATCAGAACACATTACTGAACTCTTTAGTGTTAATAGTTTTGATTCTCAAGTATATTATTATAATACTGTAACTTTTCTTGGCTTCCTTGAGAACAGGGCCTGGATCTCATTCTTTTATGCATTTGCCACCTAGCACCTCTCATGTAGGTACTCTATGTATGATTCCTGAGTAACTCCTTAGCCTCTTAGATTATTTCTATTCTGAACACTGGAGTATTTTACAGGAGCTTTAACACACGAATCAACAAATCTGCATTTACCACTTACGTGTCAGTTGCTGCAGCAGGTGCTGGGCCTACAGCAAACCAGGCACACTTGGTGGCTACCCTCTTGGAGAGGATGGTCTGGTGTCAATCACTCCACAGCTTAATTGTAAGAGGTATTATTATAGCTCTTTATACCCTCCCTGTTCTTGGTACCATACCTATGGGCATCATTGTATGTCTAGTGGAATCTTGCTATGTTTACTACTTAAATATCATTTTTAAATACAATAATTTGTAATAAAAATAATCTGAGAATTTACATAAAGAATTAAACATTAAAATCAAATTTCAACTCATAAAAAATGTGGCTAAAAGGTCAATAATGAATGAAATTCTTCCCATTCCTTACCTTTTGGTGCTTCTGGAACTCCAATGGGGCAAATGATTTTCCTGATACAATATTCTGATCGAATGCCATAAGGACCAACATCTCGCCTCTTAATTATTTCTGTTGTTGTGATTTCAGTTTCAGATGTTTCTATGGTGATTTAATTCACAAAGTATTAATAACCAACTAAAACACTCAGAGACTAAAAAGGTACAACATCTGCTGCTTTAAAAAAGAGACACACATGGAATAAACTTTTGGAAACATCTTAATGATCATAGGATCACTGTTAAAATGCAGTTAATACTGAGTTTCTTCCTCACTGAAAATTTCTAAGTTGAGCAAAACGCTGTTTGGGGCACCTTAATTCCTGATGGCAAAACTCATCCTAAATAATAACAACCCTAGGACAAAAGTAGGAAGCACAGAGTTTCAGATGTCCTAGTTTAAATGATTTATATCTCATAAGAGCAATTTTCAATCTTTCATGGCACATATAAACTAATTAGTAAAAATCTGTGGCACATCAAAAAATGTTTTTTTGGTGATATGACCAAAAAAAAAAAAAAAGTATAATTTTAATTCATTTCTATCAAATGGCTATTGCTATGTCGGCTGTTGTCTTTTTTATTTTTTTTGGACAATCTAAGGGAAAAGAGGTCAGTGCCCCTGACTAAACAGTCAGGTATTGTTTTATTTATTTTTTTTTAAAGAACTTTACACATTTTTGCTACCATTGTGGACTACCATTAACTTTTGCGCTATTCTTTCTTTTTCCTTTTTATTTTTTTTTAAGAGAGAAGGGAAGGGAGGGAGAAAGAAAGGGAGAGAAACATCCATGTGCAAGATAAACACTGATCTGCTGTCTCTTGTATGCACCCCAACCGGGGGCTAAACCCACATGTGCCCTGACTAGGGATTGAACTGGCAACCTTTCAGTCTGCGGAGCAACACCCAACTCACTGAGCCACACCAGTCACAGCAGTATTGCATGTTTTAAAAACTCTTGCAGCACACTGATTGAAAATAGCTGCTCTATAATAATAAATACCCTTTTAAAATTCAGACTGGTTCATACATAAGTGACTCACCTTATCATCTGAACCCCTTTTACCTGCCCCCAGGATATTCTAGCATGTGCTGCCAAGCTGTAGCAAAGCTGTATTTTTAAACCATAAGCATTGTATTTTAATAAATAACAGACATGTGCTCTGGTTGGTATGGTTCAGTGGATTGAGTCCTGGCCTACAAACCAAAAGATCACTGGTCTGATTCCCAGTCAGAACACATGCCTGGATTGTGGGCCAGGTCCCCAACTGGGAGTGTGTGAGAGGCAACTGATCGATGCCTCTCTTACACATGATGTTTCTCTTCCTTTCTTTCTCCCTCCCTTGCCCTCGCTCTAAAAATAAATAAATAAAATCTTTTAAAAAATAAATAAATAACAGATATGCTTAAAAGTAACCAAACCGTCAAGTCATTTTCTCTTAAGCTTCAACCACAAAACCAAAACTCCTCACCTGTTCGTGTAGTCCCTCCTCCTGGAGGAGCCTTGGCTGCCATGTCATCCCATCTCAGACTTGCCCACAGTAAACGTAACATAAGACTCACTCCAGCTAAGGACTTTACGGTCTGGAGTCTGTACCTGAAAGAAAAACCCAAGAAGAACATATATATGTATGTATGTACACATGTACACACGTACGTACACACACACACACACACACACACACTCCACTCTATTAAACGAAAGGATAGTTTCTTGTCCTCATTCAGCATTACAATACAGTTTTATAAGTATTGGCTTATTATATGTCCCTTAATAAAAGAACTTTTTTGTCCCTAGGTATAACATGCATCTAACAACTTAAAAAGGGTCGGTAGTCACTTCGAATGCTGTATAAATACATCAAGCATGCTTCATTGTAAGATAGGTATGACAACAATTTATGAAGATTTTATAAATTTAGCCTAATCCCAAAATAACTGTTAGAAAAATTATGAAGAAGAGCAAATATGGAGAAATAAATTGTTACAAATTTGATTAACATTTTTGATGGATAAAATCTTAATATTGACTTGATGAAACAAAATAGAAATGTTTACATTTTCTCAAAAAGTAAAACAAAACCAAAAAACACTTTGCAAATACAATTAAGACCCTTCCAAATGGACAGAAAAATTTGTATCCAATTTGTCGTTGTGTAAAACAGAACTCCTGGATGATTAATAATGTTAATACCAATAAACACTTTACTAGTATTAGTAAAGTTTTCAAATCCTACAATACAACAAATAATGAAAAAGGACAACACTGTATTAGTTACTAATCGAGTCAGAGGAATCTATTTTTTCTAAACATTGTGTGTGAACTTTTTGAATATTTTAGATATTCTTTTCAAAATATATTAAAAACACATTTCAAAACAACAATGAATATCATGTTCTAAAACAGAATTAACCATAAAACATTTTAAAACAGGCCCAGGTTGTCAAGTCTCTAGATCTTTGTGTAATTAAATACTTTGCTGACATTTCTATATACTTGAATATACTGGTTGACTGCATTGAGAGAAAACCTATACAACTTAATTTCCTCTTCTGACAGAGGTAGAAGGTAAATCTTAGATAATATGAAAGACAATGCTTTCTATTGTTGACATTAGGTTGGAAAAATGTACTATGTGGGAAAGGGAAAGCTGAAGCCAGAGAGTTGCTGCAATTCAACTTCCCCTCTCCCCCGTGACACCATTATTTTCTTTATCATGTTATCACCCTATAAATCCTCTGACCTGCACAGAATAATTTTTTAATTAGAGGGCAAATGTTAATTAACGCAGGGATGTCCTAAGATGAGGGAAGTGTGTGTCACTTTCAGACTACACCCTATAGAAATGCCTTGGGAATCTTTAAATGCACTATTTGGAAAGAGAAGTCTCATTCTCTTTCATTCTTCCTCTAACCACTCTCTACAAACAACTTTATAGCATCTCTATTTTATAACGGAAACATCGGATGGGGAACATTCTTTGTGTGTTACCAGTCTGTCTATTCGTTTTTTCATTCAAAAACTATTTGAGTGCCCTCTATGTGTTAGACTAAGTGAAAGGAGCTAGGGACACAGAAATGAATTATAATCTGTTCTTATGTCCTCAGGATCTGTAACAAAGGTAAAAATACAAGGCAAGGGGCATCTGATTTGGCTCCAGGATGGGGATCAGAGCTTTCCTTCCTAATCTCAAAGGACACAGATGTGGGCTGACTAAAGACAAGGAGCACACATATGCTTAGGAGAAAAGCATACAAGAGCACACACTTCTTCCCCAAAACCGTATCTGGCATGCTGTGGCCAGCAGGAAGGAGTGCAGAGGTGCAGCAAGAGATGAAGCTGGCATTAGAAAGAAAGGCAGAGCCAGAATGTGCTGCACCAAATGGAAGAATTAAGAGCCTTAAAGGTTAATTATCCAGTACTGGATGGGCTGCAAAGGGGAGTACTTCTCATAGACAAGATGGACAGGTGACAAATGCTTTCCCTTCTCAGTCCTGCAGTAGTTAACAAGTCCCCTTTAAATGTTTGGTCAGCTCAGTCAGAAGAGTCACAGGACAGATCCGAATTGCAGGAGGACCCATCGAGCAGCACTGCGGAGATAAGTACTGGTTCAAAGCGATAATAAAACATGGAGCCGGGGCCTGGGGCTAAGGGAGTAAGGGAACAGGCAGTATGGAAGGAAAGAGAAGCCCTAATGAGTTGATGAGACAAGTTTTACTTTTCAATACTGCTTAGCCTTAACATTAATAAAGATCGAACATGCACCTTTGGCATTCTTAGCTCCTACTCTAAACATCAGAAATAATTTATTCAAGTGTGAGTATAAAAATGCATTTCACATGCGTATTTTTTATAGCTATACATTTTTTTAAAAACTGCATTCTATAGTCAAGAATAATTTACATATTCACCCATGCCTCTGTTAGACAGAAGGGATTATGTTTCTTTCAACTTCAGCAAATTAAGATGTTAGCATATATTTTAAGGCAGTATCTGTTTAAAATGTACAGGAAGGTACTCCCTTCCATTTAAAAATGAGCAGTTAACTAAACAGATACAAATTGTGCCCACAGTGCATATTAACACATAACAACACAAGGCTCCTGAAACCCAGCCGTGCAAAAAGGGGCCCTGGGCAACACTTGAGCAGAACTGGTCCAAAGAAAATGCTTCCCAGTTGAGCCTACCTTCCATTTCATAATAGTAAAAAGCAGAAAGGTCTGCCTCCACCACTGCCAGGTCATTTTAATTAAAAGTATTTGTACATAGTAACTTTTCCAGTGGGAAAGAAGTTACCTGCAGGACAGTCAAGGATACACTTTGGGACCGCTCTCAATGAAGAAAGCAGAAAAGTGCAGAGTAATCCTACAAATCCATGAACTGTAATGAAGAGTTCCTTGATTCCCTGCAGGATTCTGCAAATCCTTCATTGCAGGCCCTGCAGAGAAATTGTACTTTTTCAGCTGTCTCTATTGAATGTGTAATGGAGTGATGATATTTTAATTCAAATCAAAAGATGAGTTATAAAAACTTGGTCAAACCAACTATGACTGGTCATATTAGTAAGTTAATTCCTTTATAGAGAGTACTCATTTACACTTTTTTTTTTTTTTTGGTCTTTTATAATACTAGCTAATTGTCATTGAAGGAAACAAACAAACAAACAAAAAGCATGATTTTTAACTTAAAGAAACTGGGACCATATCAAAGATACACAGAAATGAAGCCTGCTCAGTAACTTGCAGAAGTAATCAATTTCAGGATCCTAATAAAATATAACTGCAAAACTGAGATCCTTCCTGATTTCTGTGCATGTCCTATAGAACTCTTTATGTTCCATTCTTTTCAACTGTAAGGGTGAATCAGAAAAAAGACAAGGGCATGAAAAAGGACAAGCAAAGATAAATATGTGAAATGTGATATAGCAGATAAAGTACTGGGCTGGGATTTAAGAAAACTGGGCACTATTCGTAACTCAGTCCCTCTGTGGGCAGAGGCAAACTATTATATATTATATAAAAAAAACAACAAGGTAAGATTGTTTCCCAATATAAAACTACATGATCTCACAACCCCCAACACTATATACTATGACTCCCCAAAGCTTAATGCCCAGGAAATCTTAAATTACAACTATTTATGGGTTTAAAAAAAAAAAAATCCCTAAGCAATCTCTGAGACTACCTTTACTCACATAACAGAACTCCAGAACAAATGTTTATCATGTAAATAAATTACATTAGGAAGATTTCCACATTATAATGAACTGATGTGATTTATAGGTAAGTTTTCTATGTCTTGTAACTTTATGAATTACCTAACAAAAATAAAATATATTTTAATACACAATTGGGAATCCATGTATGCGGAGGAAGGCTGACTTATTAAGTTATATACACGGATTTTTGAACACATAGGTGTTTAGTGCCCCTAACCTCCATGCTGTTCAAGGGTCAACTATACAAACATTCCAGAAAGTTGGTGATCATCCAATTTTATGAGCAATTCACATGGCCATAATTTGGAAAGTTAAACCACATGTGTTTGACATGTTTCTTTTGTCTTGTGAAAAGTAAAATTGAATTTCATTGTAAAGGATTCCCTTACATTTTTAGTGTTTAAGTATACGCCTCCCCGTCTTTTCTCTATTATCTCATTATCTTTTTTTTTTTTTGAAAAAAAGATAATTTTCTCCCCTCCCCAAATACATTTTAAAGTACATACCTCCAAGTGATACCAAAGGTTGGTCTAGGAGAAGGATATGGCCATATATCCAAGGCAGGTTTAGCATTGTAATTAAAATAAGGGACTTCTCGGATTCCTCCTTTTCGGGCCAACTTTTTTAAGTCATCATTAGGTAGAACAAATATGCTCTTCTTGCTGCTCTTGGTGATAAACTTTCTATAGGATGGTAGAGCTGTACCTGAACGAGTCTTCTTGGGTCTTGAAAATTTCATGAGTTTCACTTTATCTCTTGTGGAATATTCTTTGCTCACAGTCATAGATGTTACTAGAGTGCCTCCTGCAGTGGTCAGTGAGTCTGTCACTGTTGTGGTGACCACAGTTTTGCTCTGCTCCTTCACAGAGATGATGTCCACATTGCTGTCCATGGAGGGTGTGGAAAGCTTTGTTACCGTTGTGGTGGTTGTAACAGTGGATTTGGCACAATTTTCTGTGGAAGAGACCACAGTTTGCTTATCACCTTTTGCTACTTTGATTACTGTTTTTGACTCTGTGGCCACTGTGGATGTCATGGTGGTGACTTCTGTGATGACTGTTTTTCTTTTAGATTCTCCATTGACATTTTCATCTTTGTTGCTGGGCAGGCCGTTTTCATCAGTGAAATCATTACTGAGGTTGGATTCCTCTCCAGAAGTAATAGGTGATGGAGAAACTTTCTTAACTTCTGAGGTTTCAATTTCCATGTCTTCTACCTGATTCACTGAACTGCTTTCTGGACAAGATGGTGGAGGTGTGGTAGTCTGTGCTCTCTCAGACTCTTTGGTTAATGGCAGGGTCTCTAGGCCATCTTGGTAGTCACCTTCCGCATCTGAAGGTCTTGGTAAGCATGATTTTGCTTCCAAGCTGTTGTTTTCATTAAAATCTTCCATGACGACATCACCATTCATAAATGGCTTTACAGCAGATTCTTTAACAGCCAAAGACTTAATATCATTTTCAGGAATTACTTTATTTATATTATTAACCTTTGGTTCAATGTCACCACTTACTACTTTACTCTCAGAGATCTCTTTCAAACATTCACCTTTCAAATATACTTTAGGTTTATTATCTTTTCCATTTATTTGAAAGGTACTTACTTTCTGTCCTTTCTTTTCAGATTCTCGATTTTCATTATTCTTTTTGTCAGCACTACTGTTTAGATTTATTTGATCAATACATTTATTTACTGATTTCTCCTCTAATTTCTGTTCTGGACTTGGTTTTTTACCATTTGCTTCAGTTATCTTACCCTGCAGCCTGTTATCACAGTTTCCAGTGGACTTATCTGAAACAAACTCACATTTCAATGGTTCCAAGCTTTCACCTTGTTCTTGAGTTATGAACTGCTCAGAAATACTGTCATTGCTATTCTGAACAATCATATCTTCTTCACTGCTGTCCTGAATAGACATAGTATCAGAACTATTTTCCAAAGTGCTATTATATTCAAAGTCACATCCTGTTTTCCCTTGAAAGTCCACTGCTTTTGACAGAGATGGGATATCTCTATCATCAGTACTTTTAGATACTGATGGAAGTAAAGGGCTCTGGGAAGGAGAAACAATGGCGTCATTATTCTCCTGTGTGAGTGGTTTTTTGTTCTTAGAGATCAAAGTACCAATTTCATCTGCACAGGCTAGTTTAGAGTCATCAATGAGAAAATCACTTCCCTTTGTTTTAATCTTAGTGGGTTCTAAGCCTTTACTGGTTGGTTCAGAGAGACTCTCATCTATGTCATTTCCAACAGAATTTTGTTTCTGATAGTTTGTCTCTGGGCTCTGAATGGAGATGTCATCTAACATTTGATCTTTTGGATAAAGTTTATTCGTTGCATGATCAGGATCACTGATTCCCAGAATTGAGGAATCACTCTGTGAACATCCCTGAATAAAGTCTTCAGATTTATCGTTACTTTCATTAGGGCTTTGTTCTTGTCTAAGTAAGTCACTTTGACACCCTTCTTTTGCTTTTGTTATTACTGGTGACTCAGATGGACTTTTCAAAGAACTTGTAGAGGTCTTTCCTGTACCCTTAATTCCACCCTCCAACTTCATTTTTTCGAGTTGCTGTTTTTCTTCCAGTGTAAACTGTTTAATTCTCCTTTCAAGAAGTCCATCTAATTTGGATGACTTAATTTTCTTTTTATAACTAGTCCTTAGATGAAAACCCTCACTGACATTGACCACATCTACTTGAGAACTTTCCTGACAATTTATATGTGACTCTGTTTTCACATCATCTATTTCCATTGGTTCTTCCTTAAAGGATTTATCATTGTCAGAATCTAAAACTTCTTTCACATCTGTGAAACAAAGACATTTATATAAGTGGTATTTTTAGTCTGAAATGTGGAACTCATATTTTTATTTTAAAAACTACAAATTTTCACTCAAAAACAAATATAAATATCTATACAATTCAAAAGTCTTGATATATGATTAGAACACGTTAACAGACAGGGCTGAGTTATATAAAAGGTTAAAAAAGGCAATATATTCCAAATGTTTAAATATTCAGATTCATCTAAAAATGAAGAGATGCCACAATGGGAAATTACTTAATATATAATAGCTATTACATACACCATGAATTCATGTTAAGATTCTGAATACGACATTTTATACTTACAAAACATCTTAAGGCTCATGAATTATCTACCTTATCTATTCTTTAAAAAAATGGCTTTTCACAAAAGATAAGTTCCTTAAAAGGTTGGATAAAGAGTTATTTCATGACCCAGCAACTCCATGTCCACCTAAACTTGTGCACAAATGTTCATATCAGCATTACTCTTAATAACCAAAAGGTAGGAAAGACTCAAATATCCATCAACTGATGAATGAATAAACAAAATGTGGCACATCAATAAAATTGAATATTAAAAAAATTTAAAAACTGAAGGAATACGGACACATGCTACCAAATGGATAAACCTTGAAAACATTAGGCTACATGAAAGAAGTCAGTTACAAATAGCATATATTATTACATGATTCCATTTATATGAAATGTAAAAATAGACAAATCCATAGAGACAGAAAATAAACTGCTGAGCTGGGGAGGCAGATTTATGGAGGATTTGGAATGCTAATGGATATGAGTTTCTTCTTGGGGTGATGAAAATGTTCTAAAATTGAGGTGATGGTCAAAAAACTCTGTGAAATACTAAAAAATCACTCAATTATATACTTTAAATGGGTGATTTCATGGCATAAGGATTACATTTCCATAAAGCTATTATCAAAAAGAGACAATGCAGTACCTTTCCTGCTGTGTGAACTAGATCCAGTGCATTATCATCACCCCCAGGCTGCCCTTCACACTTGACTCTCCTTACCTTGGTCCTTCTCCTCAGTAATCTTTGAAATGTCCATTTCACTTTGGTCTGCTCCTTTTGCTGCTTCTGAATCTTTTACCTCATCTTTCTCAGGATTAGGCTCTGTTTTTATTTTTTTTGGACTTCGTGGGCTTTTCCTTCTATCTGATTCATCCAAATTTTCATTCACATTAGTTTTGGCTAAAAAGAACCAACAGTATAGTAACTACGAATATTTTGCGTATTAGCAACTTAACATATCTAGTTTAGTATAAATTATCAAGTATTTTCAATTAAAAAAAAAAAGTTGACCCAGACAAGAAAAAGCTAAAGGAGTTCACCACCACCAAACCAGTATTATAGATAGGTAGGTTAAAGGGTCTTCTGCAAGTAGAAGGAAAAAAACAAAAAGGTAAAAAATATGGACAACAAAATTCCAATAAATACATCTCTATCAATAAATCTAAAAAACAAAATAAATGAACAGGAAGAACAGAAAGAAACTTATAAATACAGAGAACATTCCGACGGTTGCCAGATGGGAAAGGTTAGGGGAATGAGTGAAAAAGATAAAGGTATTAAGAAGTACAAATTGGTTGGTTACAGAATAGTCATGGGGATGTAAAATACAACATATGGAATATAGTCAATAATATTCTAATAACTATGTATGGTATCAGATGGGTGTGAGACTTATCAGGATGATCACTTAGTAAGTTACATAATGTCTTATCACTGGGGTGGACACCTGAAACTAATATAATAACGTATGTCAACTGTAATTGAAAAATTAAAATTATTTTACTTTTTTTTTAAGAAATGACACAAGCTTCTTCCCTCCCTCCCTTCTTTCTTTCTTGACAGAGGGAAAGGGAGGGAGAGAAGGGGAGAAACATCAATGTGTGGTCACCTCTCACGCGCCTCCTTCTGGGGACCTGGCCCGCAACCCAAGCAGGTGCCCTGGGAATTGAACTGGTGACCCTTTGGTTCGCAGGCCGGGGCTCAGTCCACTGAGCCACACCAGCCAGGGCTAAAAATGATTTTAAAATGGGGAAAAAAATAAAGAACAAAAACTGACCAAAGTAAGTTGTTAGGTATTGTAGGGAGGTGTTTAAGGAAGAGAGTGCAAGGGTCTGGGGTGCTGTCATGTTCAGTGTCTATTTGAGTGTGTGCAGTCCATGAAAATCCATTCGGATGTCCATCCATAGTCATTTTCTGTATGTTTATTATCCCTCAATAAAAATTTTTTTTCAAAGTTGAATGTCCTATATGTACTTTTAAATGTTTGGGTGACCTAACGCATAAAATAACTGCGTTTTATATGTGCTTTAGAAGCTTTCATATATGAGACTATTTCAACCTGTCTGCATCAGCGGTTTCTCACATATAGTGTTATAGAACCGTATTAGAATTGGATAAATGTTCTGATCCACTAAGCAAACAAACAAAAAGTATATGTAAAAACTTTTGTTAGAAATTTAAATGGATTCTTAGATAACCTTCAAGTTTATCCCTGGACTCCACGTGAAGAATACTTTTAAGTGCATTATCACAGAATAAAAGAGAAATATCCAAATGCAATGTGTGGCCTTATTTGGACCTAATTTACTGCTAATAGTAAAAAGGCATCTCTGAGACAAATGAGGTGATGGGAATATGAACTGAGAATCAGATGATTGGTATGTTAGCTGCTGTTAATTTACTGAATGTGATAATGGCCTGATGCCTATGGAAAATGTTCAATTTAGTTAGAGATACATAATGAACTACTTATGATAAGTAACATGATTTTTGGGATTTGCTTTAAATACAGGGGAAAAAACTCCAGGAAAAATGTGGGCCGTGACCACTGAAACAGGAGTGACAGAATTTGATAACTGTTGAAGTTGAATGATGGCTCCGTGGGAATTGATTATTCTATCATTCTCTTTTCTTCTTTGTAGTTTCAAATTTTCTATAAGAAAATAAAAACGAAACCCACAGAACAGAACTATTGTCTAGATGAATTTCTTAGGCCTTAGAGGCATTTTCTAACTTTTATTTTCTTCTTCATTTGAACACAAATATCTCAAGGACTTAGCAAGATGTACTTATTTTTTTTATTTAAATAAATGACTCTTTCCAAGAGGATCTAAATGAGGGCAGGGAAAAGAATGCAAAACAAACAAACAAAAAAACCCCAACCAAACAAACAAAAAACCCCACTCAGTACCTGTCAGGACAGCAGGATAGTGGTAAGAGAAGAAAAGCATCATACAAAGGGTGAGGGGATATATCTGGACCCCACAAGTAACAGAAGAATAAAAAAACTAAACTGATACCCTCCATAGTCATTGTTTCTAAAGTTACTGAAAAATAGCTGGGAAATATTTTTCAATGATTTCAAGTTACTCAAAAGTGCTTTATATGACAATGGTAGCCTCATTTACAAGCTATAAAAATGCTGATATTTAAAACAGACAACTATAAAATGTTTGGGATCCCCCCCATTAAAGTCTTCTTGACATAAACAATATTAATATATACCCATTACTGAACTTGATAAATTAATGTGCAAAACAAATGCATACAGTCTGCATTAGAACAGAGTAACATTACACATAAACACACAGCAGCCAAACAAATTAAATACTCTGGTCTTTTGGTGCTAAGCCAAATGATCCCTGGACTACATTTCTGTTTTTCAACACATCTATCCCTCTATCATATTATCAGATTAGATTACCCATTATTATAGGGACCAACAGTTCTAAGATCATAAAGAGTATATTTTATACTGATTTATATAAATAACATAAAAATCTATTGTTGCTTTCACTGTGATTTCTACTCTGTAGTTAAACTAACAATATATACTGCTGCTTTTTTCCCTGCTACCACCTGGAATGAAAGGCCCAAAAGATGCTAGAAAACCAGCCTGGTGCCTGACTGTTAAGGCTCAGCAACTGGACAATGAAAAATCCTATGCTAGGAAAATGGACATAAAAGAAATTTGCAAAAGCCTAAATATATTGATATTGATAATCTGGATTTTATTACACAGGTCAAACCAGGTTAGACACAGTTAGACAAAATCTCTCTAGAATTCTAAGTGCTACATGAATAACTAGAGCAACAAAATGGTGATAAAAAAATGTTAACCACCTTTTGGAATTTATTATAATGGATATTTAACCTGAATATAATCAGATAGTAACAGACTGGTAATGAAATAAAAATATTCATTGAGCACCAGCAATGTGCAAGACTCTTCTAGTACCTACAATAAATTCCCATGAGCCTTATAAAATGTATACATTTTCTGTTAAAAGATAATCCAGTGATAACTTTCCCAAATTAACAGTTTCAAATATCTACCAGTCCAGGTTTTACTACAACCATTCACAAAAGCCAAATCAGTTAGCTAGATATGTAGATATACAGATAGTACTTATCTGACATTTATGGCATAGGCTATATAGGAAAGAACACATCACTCCATAAATTAACAAATTATATTGCAACATAGGAGAGACTGGATGATAGAGCACAAAAAGGGCAAGGGAAGCCAAGAGACATGGATTCCAACCATATCACTTTCTATCTAGTAAGAACTTCAGTATGTCACTTAACATCTTCATGAAATAATCTGTTCGTGTAACATGAGTTTCAATATACGAAGTTTCTCTTACAGGGGCAGTTCACCTCTAGAGTTCTATAATTCTAAAGTTATTACCCAGTAGCATAAATGGAGTTAATACCTCATTTATGTGGTAGTGCTTTGGAAGCCTCTACCACTCCCTTTCTGGTTTTGTCTTGTGCTACATACAATGCTGAGGTTACCAGAGGTACAGTTCCTCAAGAAGCCAAGTAGTACTTAATTTAAGATTTCAGAAAAAACAATTAGGTGGCTGAAGGCTTTTTTCTTTTCTTTTTAAAAAACAAGTTTTATTCTATCATCTTTCATTAACTGACATCCTTGATATCAAAATCCTTTAAATAAATGTAATTCTAAAACACAGAGTTTATAATAAACTACGTTAGTAATTTTGAAAATTCTATTAAGAATTTCAGAAAAAGTCTTATCTAAAATATGGTAAATATATTACTATAAACCTATAAGAAATAATAAAGTCAGAAACAATCATGCCAGAAGAATAATTACTTACTTTCTTCTAATGACTTTCTGTAATTCACATTTGTATTGCCTGGCAATTTAGGAAGAAATCTATAAACGTGAGTTTTACTAATCCAGCTCCAACCACCATATCCTGTTACTCTGTATTCCTCGCCTTTTTGTTTCCACACCTGATGTAAATAAAGACATTCTGATTAAGCAAGAATGAGAATGCTTATAACACACTTGTGATTTTATACATTTTTACCAAAGAAAATGAAGAGAGGTAAATTAATTAAATTTACCAATCAATTTTATTTTTACCCAAGAATCAAAGATTCTTGGGAAAAAACTTAACTTTCCTTTTTCATATTATAAAATGTAAGACAGTTTCACAGTTTCAGGACAATTTCAACAAATTGGTCTAATGACCCACCTATATTCTACGAAGATAAACCTATGCTTATAAAATTGCCAGAAAGATTACTTCAACTGTATTAAAAAACTGTGTCAAAAGTAAAAAAATTATTAAGTACTCAAAGTTGCAAGTAAAGTCTCAGAAATTACTAACATTATTTCAACAGAATATAAGTAAAATTACCTGATGTTTAACTGGAAATGTGTATTTTACCCATGTAGCTTGTTGCATTGTTTCTTCCTCTTCTTGTTTCTTTTCCTTTTTTTTGACTTTCTCTTTTTCTTCTCTTTCAATAGCTGTCATCCTGTGTAACCTAAGAACAAAAGAATTGGAAGACAGAATTACATACAATTTTGAAAAACAATATAAAAATAAAGTTCTGAAAATTAGGAAGACAAAAACAAAGAATAGTTAGAGATAATCCTCAATTCAGACAATCCCAACTCAGAACAGTAAGTAGATGTACAATTCTATAAAAGGAAAAAAATCAAACAATACAGCAAGGCAAAAACAAAACTGGCTATGTTCCCCATATTAAATACTCATTTATGAACTTATTCCTGTAATATTCCATGCATACACCAACATCATATTCATATAAAAGGCATTATATTACAAACAAAATTTTCTGGTTTTTATCAATAAATAATTGCACTAGGAGATCTCTCCATACCAGAAGGTACAGATCTTTTGAAGAATTAAGTAATATACTACTGCATGGATATACTATAAATTATTAAACCAGTTCCCTATAAAAAGGAATACTTTATTTCCTTCTTCCCAACTTAGATCAACAAATCCACAAACTTTTATCAACCAATATTTCTGATTCTATATAGCACTGGGGATCTTAAAAGCCTTCACATGATCCACTAACATAGAATTCAGGCTTCCTATGTACAGAGAGAGGGTCCCATGTGTCTCCTGTTTTGGACAAGGGGAAGGGCTGCAAAGGGAGAACCACACTGATCAGGCATCATCATTAGGCACAGGACATAAGCCACATTCTTTTCTTAGGCTGAAAAACTGATTATCACTGCACTGAAGCAGTAAGGAGATGGGCAGACCTGTGATAAAGCTCTACATATTAAGGTGTTTTAGACTGTATATTCATGAATAGGACAATTTCCTATAAACAGGGACATTAGCCAAGACCTAAAGGGAGAGGAGCTCCTGTCTCTCTGAGAGCTCTAATGGTAGCATCTTTTTTTTTTTTTTTATATCACACTCTACCTAATTACAGCCAATTTTGCATGCACAGCAATGTGGAAAGAATAAAGAGATCTTCTGTTAACTTGGGGGAGAGGTAGGTGCTAATAGGCTGTGAGGGGGGGATTTAATTCTTTTTAATCTCCTTCCCTCCACCACAAACTCCCTATCTATCTCCACTTTCAAGAAAGCTTTGAGACCCTTGACTATAGGACTCCGGAAATCTAGTCTCCCTGGGGCTAACTGAACTCATGTTAATTAACTGCACATAACGAGTAGAGCAAACACTCTTCCTTCTTTCACAGCTGATGAGAGGAGAGGAAAGGGAGTGGATTCTCACCAGGGACTAACTCACTGACTCACATATCATCAATTTGCTACCACTCTCAAAACCAGGAAGTGGGACAAGCTCTGCAGGTGGAGCACGGTGGGTACCCTGACAGACTCAGCCAACCAGAGGGAGGAGAGTGACTGAGGACCATGTAGTATCTCTCAACAAAGCTTCTGTGGGTTCAGTTTAAAACACCTCTGCAAAGTCAGGTCCAGCACAATAACTGGATCCAACTTCATCGACAGTGGCCAGGGATGACACATTGCGTGGGGAGAAGAGCAGTGCAATGACACTCTGGGGGCTCACGTCTGGGCTGGACACTCAGCTTGTGCTCTTAGTGTTCACGTGGGAAACAGGTCCATTTTCATCACCAAAGGCTTAACTTTCCTGGAGAGCCCTGGAGGAGGTGGTACTGTTGCTAATCTGTGATGTTAGCTAAACCAGATTAAATTCTATTGTTCTCACTGCCACCAAAACAATCTTCATGAGAAAAGGCAGCAAAAAAGGAACTCCAAAGGAGCTCAGTTCCTCTTGGCTGGGCAGAAAGGTTGGCTGCTGCTGCTGGCCAGGAGGCCCCAAGAAGGAAGCCCGATCAGGCCAGTACCATGCAACCTCCAGCTGCAGGTGCTTTTTCCGCATCTATGTGGGTCAACTGACAGCTGGAGCAGGAATACTGACTGAGCTTCAACTCCACTCCTGATCTACACGTGATACCCAGGGTTTTGCTGTGTGATTGTTATTACAAACAAAGCTACAATAGGAATGTTTTCTGTCTGTCTTGGTCAAATTAGGGAGAACCGCCCAATGTTCCCCAGTGGTGGGACGGCTAAGTCCAAAGGTTCTTGCACTTAAAGTGCAGACAGTGCCAAACTGCTCTTCAGAACTGTACACTTCACACTGCGACTGATTGTAAGGACACCTGCTTTCCCACACCTTTACTCGTTGAGTACCAAACTTCTAAATTAACAGTCCAACTGAGAGATAAGAAATACTATCCCACTGTTTTGGTTTACATTTCTTTAATTATGAGAGAAGTAACCATTTTTTAATGTTCACTGGCCTTTCGTATTTATTTTTCTGCAAAATGCCTGTTCAAATCCTTTTTCTTGTCTGTACTGGACTATTATTAGTCCTTTTCATTTATAAAAGGTCTTTGTCAATTAAGGAAATTTTCCATTTGTGGTGCAAATATTTTTCCTCAGTTTGTCATCTGTCTTTTGAATTTGATTACATTATTATTTCTCCACTCAGAATTTTAAATACATACACATATCCACTTTTTTCCTCTATGGCATCTGGGTTTTATATCTGTTTAAAAAGAAAGTATCACAACAAAGACATAAATTAATTCATGATTTCTTATTGAAGTTTTGATTTTTTTAAAGAGTTTTCTTTTTTTTTAAATCATAATTTATCTGAATGTTTTTGATGAGGCAAAGATCTAGCTGATATTTTCTCCAAACATGCCCCCCGTTCTCTTTCCTTCTCTGACATGCGATGCTATCACAGCTAAATTGGCCCCTGTGCTCAGGTCTATTTCTGGATTCTCCGGTTCTATTACTCTACTTCCTTTGCAGTACAAAGTATTTTGATTATTGAAGCTTCAAAATATGTTCCAGTACCAATTCCCTTTTTTTATAATATCTACTTCCTTCTTCTGGCACATTAAATTTTCTAGATGAAATAGTATCATTTTGGTCAAGCTTTTCTGCCCATAGAGGAAAATGCCCATGCACAATGCAGATAAATACTAATTTTGATAGATTAAATTAATATAATTAATGTAATACATAGCAACTTTAGAAAATATACACATCTAAGCATACAGCTTTTTATTTATTCAAAGTATCCTTTTATATCTTTAGTAACATTTTAATGATTTCTTTACATGATCCTGAATATTTAAGTTTATTCTTAGTAGAGGTTTTTTTTCTTTTCTTATTGATATCTTTTCTTTTATTATGACTTATAAAAATATGTAAAATGTAATGTGGTTAAGAAACAGAACTTTATCAATAACAAAAACATTGGAAGTTAGTGCGTCTGATCCCTAGGTAGTCATTATCATGGCTTTTCTTTATGGTTTTACCACCCATGCAAGTATCTCAACTGGTATAAAGTTTGACTGCTGAAAACTCAGGAACGAATATAACTAGCTATTTGACCAGAAGTGTAATATTGTCATTCTTAAAAGGATAGTGGGGGAAAAAACTTGTCTCTGGGCCACAGTTTACAAGTTTACAAGAGCATTTTCTGGTGAAATCCAAGGGCAAGGTCACAAGCAAGACCTGGAATACACTGGGCTCACCACACTCAGAGGATCTGGCAGACTGTGTAAACAGGTACTGCAGACACAGGACCTAAAGAGGACTGATCTGCATTTCCTGTTTCTGGGCCTTTTGAGGAGTCTGTGGTGTAAACTGTGACAATTCTGTTTTCCCCCTTCTTGGGTACATTACCATTTGTCTACCTACATTATTGCTTCCACACTTTTATTGGTCCTACATTCTCTTTTGTACCCCTTGTCCCTGTAGGTTTATCCTTAAAAAAAAAAAAAAAAAAAAAAAAAAAAAATCCTCCCCTGGCTAGTATGGCTCAGTGGATTGAGTGTCAGCCTGCAAACTGGAAGGTCACTGGTTCAATTCCTGGTCAGGGCACATGCCTGGGTTGCAGACCGCGTACCCAGGTGGAGACGTGTGAGAGCCAACTGATTGATGTTTCTCTCCCTCCCTTCCCCTCTCTATATGAATAAACAAAGAAATAAATCTTTTTAAAAAATTGTCAAATATCAATTAAGAAAACTCCTGCATAATGGCATTCTAAAATCATCTTCTTAAAAAAAAAAAAAAATCCCTCTGTCATAGTTTTGGTGGAGTTCAGCAGGGAGTAAACATATATGTGTTTATTCAATCTGTTATTTTTAAGAGAACTCCCACTGTATTTTCCACATAGTCACTGTCTGTATACATAAAACCTGTATGGTGGCCACCTTACTTCATTTTCATATCGTTTCTGATAGTTTTTCAAAAATCAATTTTCTTGGGTTTTCGAAGTATATAATTAGATCAACTGCATAATAATTAATTGTGCCTATGTCTGCCAATATATCTTTTACTTATCATGACAAAATGCCTTGGCTAATAATTTTAAGAAATGTTAAAGACAGCAGTGATACCTGACATCTTTGTTTAGTACCACCTGAGTGTTGATGTGAATACTAGAAGAGTTTCATCAAAACACAAGGTGGTTTGGTTTGAAATATAGCTTTACCCAAAAAAAAAGAAAAAGAAAAGAAAAGACTTCCTATTTACTAAGTATTTTTTCACAGATTAATAGTAAGTTTTTATCTTGTTAATTAACAAATACTTTTTCAGCACCTAATGAGATGATCCTTTTCCATCTTTGATGTCTTTTTTTTTTTTTAAGATTTTATTTATTTTTAGAGGGGGAAGGGCAGAAGAGAGGGAAACATCAATGTGTGGTTGCCTCTCGAGCACCTCTACTGGGGACCCAGCCCACAACCCAGGCATGTGCCCTGACCAGGAATCGAACTGGCAACCCTTCGGCTCACAGACCTGGCACTCAATCCACTGAGCCATACCAGCAAGGGCTCTATCTTTGATGTCTTAAAATAGCATGGTATTAATAATCTCCTAAGAATAGACAAGTCTTCTGTGCCTTGGGGAAACCAGTTTAACTATGGTTTATGATTCTTTGAATTTACTCCTAAATATATTCCTAATGTTTTAAGATTTCTTGGATGCACATCTATT